TACCTAGTATTTAAGATATAATCTTTAAATCAATCCAAATACTTTCAATTTATTCAAGATCATGATTCTGAGAATATATTCTGACACTCGGTCTTTAACTGCAAGAAATTTATAGCTTCTCAATGTCTATGAATCAACTTCTTAACCAATGTGAAGAATCTTCAGGGAAAATCGATTAAATTCTTCTTCATTGTTCTTTGGTTTGATTTTAAACACGTAAAATAAATTTAACTTGGCCTGTGCTTTCATTATTTCAATGATATTGTTGTTTATACCACTAAGAAAAAACAAGAATGCTATTTAACTCAGGCTTTCAATTTTTCATTTTTTTGCATTAGAAGAGTTTTTCAATTGGTTCATTGAAAATTCTATGCAATACTTAATCCATTAAGATATCTTTGCAATGCGTGGTTTATTAAAAGCGTAATAAGATTCGTACCTCTAGGGAATGGGGAAAAAACATGTGATATTGCTAAACTACAATAGAAATAATTGTTATCTGGAAATCTTTATGAAGTAATAAACTACAATATTGAGTATGAAATTTATCAGATAGAAAACATTAGAGGATAAAAAAATTAAGAATAATTCAGTTGGAACAATTTTATGTATTTATAAAACTAGTCAAGAGCCAAAAAAGATAAAAATAGATGGTGAAGTATACATATTGTTATTATTGAATTATTAGTTACATACCATTTACTGTATTTATATTATATATACCATCTTAAGGAGAATGCTAATATTGTAATTTAGAGAATGGTAATTAGGCTTAATGTTAATAGAAAACAAATATAGAACAAATGCAGATGAATTAAAGAAAATAATCAATGTTTTGTCTTGAGATTTAACTTGACTGATGATCTCTTCTTTACTAAACAAAACTGATCTAACACTCTGAGCAAAAGCTTTTATATTAAATAAAACTCTCAAGGGACGTCTGCAATTCATCAACAATTGTTTTATTCAGACAGACATTTAAAAACTTAATGAATAATTTTTACACTATGCACTATTTATTAAATATAATATTTGAGTTGCTTTCTTTTGTTGATGAGACACTTAGGCACTTGCTTGCTTATATACACGAAGGCCGAGAGTTCCAGCCTGTTGTTTCGGCATAACCTCATTGTACACTGCATGGATTGACAATGAGTTGCAGAAATGTGAGATGTAGAACACCATCTCATTTCTATTTGTTGATCAGTCATTGGAAAAATTACTGGAAAACTAATCATTGAAAATTGGTGTAGACTGGAGAACGCTGTATCTACATCAATAGTCAATAAGACATTGTTGATAGGGTAATCAGTTAAAGACTAGTAGTGATACTGATCATTCTTCTTCTGTCTATCAACCAATGGTCTGTCTGTCACTCCAATTGGACAAGAATAGACAGTTGATTAATCATTAATACAATTACAATCTTAGCTTTAATTATTCTTTTAAAAAGTCAGACAGTTCTAGAAATACTTTCACTAGCAAAATACACCAATCTGATTAGAAATACCAATTTGAAATTTCATTTTGTTTTATCGATTACAATGCTAAATAATTCAAGGATAACACATTGCATTTTAATCTGTAGACATTGTTAACAGAAATAAGTTCACTTTCCAGTTATAATAAAACCATTTAATTGCTTTGTTCAATATAAAAATTTTCTTATATTTTCTGTCTTTCATGTTAATATCAGATAATAATGTTATATATCAAGTCAAAAACGATTTGACAATTTCTGTCAATATCTGAAAGTAAAAGAGATATTTGAGAACAAAAAGAGTCTTAATATATGTAGAACTTAAAGATGGGTTTAATTAATTGGTGTATATCATGTATTATTAATCATATCATTATGTCCTTAATGCATATAATCAAGAGTTTTAACCAGTTATAAATGTCCATTCATGTACAGTCTGGATAAACAAAAAAGACTTTTTGTCCTTTCTTGATCGGTCACTCATTGGAATTCTACTGGTAATTCTCTAGCAAATTTTGAATTATTTATGGACAAATGAGAAAAAATGGTATTTTTCCATGTCATTAGAACACCTCTACTTTCTATTCATATCAGTATTAGCATTTTCATTTTCATATACTATACTGCCCAACAATAATTTTAATATGTTACATAAGCTAATTTGTGCCTTGTTTGTCCCTTACCATGCAAATTCTCTTTCTTGATACAGTCAGCATGGTGTTAAATGGCGTTTTATTTTTTTCAGGAGATAATAGCCAGTTTTCTAAAGATGATGTTTCTCTTGCTGATAATGAAGAAGGCACTTCACAATATATTAATCACATGGCCTTATATGAAGTAAGTATGTGTATTTTCAGTCTGTTGGTGGTGACCTACCTTGCTGTTCATTTGGACTTGCTGCGCAATTTTATGATAAATATTAAAACCCCTAAAATCTCGATTCTCACCAGGTGATACCAGTACTCACAAGGGGTAACTGAGAACATCATAGGAATGGCTTTAGATGCATCTCAATTTTCAAAAAATTATAGTATAGTATAAACAATCAAGTAAAAACACATCTCTTATGGTCATGCCAATAATTCCAGGTTCTTTGATGAGGCTTGAACAATGTTTACAGTAACTTTTCTACTGCAAAGCCATCTTGGCACTTCACTTTGGCTATGACAGTAACAAGGTAACAGCATAAGTATAAGGGTATAGGAGGACTCTAAAAGGTTGTGAAATATTGTGCAAACTCTCACTCTTTGAATTGATTGGAAAAACTAGACATATGAAGCAGAATGTGGTATTTTCATTTTCATTTGATTTTTGGTACTTTTTATTAAACAGAATGTTTTGTTTTGCTTTCTCTTCAGGATGATCTGGAAAAACAGGGTAAAGTGTCACAAATTCTCAATCGTATTTCACAATATCAAGCTGGTATTCAACCCAATCCTAATGAAGTTGATAAAGGAAAGAGTAGAAAGGTAACTACACCATCCTGTACATTCAGAATCTTTAGTTTGAAGTTGCTTTCAAGTCATCTTTATATAATCTAGCGAATGTCACATACTGCTGATTTGGTTATGTATTTTCCAGACCTTCTAGACTATATCTGTACACAGATGCTTGACACTTTGAAAGAAAAGTATCAAATGCTTTTGGCCCAGCTATCTTTTCCTGATTGACCACAGCAGGACCACAGCACAACAACATCTTAGTTTATTGGCTCTTTAACAAGCAGAAAACAGTGATGTAAAAATTGCTTTTGATTTGTTTGAAAATGCATCTTGGCTTGTTAAAACAAATACCAAATTTGACGTATGGCACTTCTGGATAAAGGTGACTGAAAGTAGCTTCATAGATTTAGATTTAGTTGACCAGAGTCTAAGCATGTTGGAAATGTACCGATTGCGTTATAGAATAAGTTAATTATAGAGACATTGCTAAGTAGTCAGTACTGTTATTTATGTTGTGACTTTATTTTTTTTTTTCTCTTAGAAAAAGGTAAGTGTTTTGATATTCATTGGAAAAAAACTGCATGTCTAATAGTTGCAGTATAAGTCTTGGTTCCTTTTTGTGATTCATGCCTGTTGTCCTGGTCCTGGTGCTAAAAACATAAACTTGTTCTGGATATAAGATTCTGTGAAACGTGATTAGATTATTTGAAGATTTTTGAAATAAATTTAAAGGGACAGATGGGTCATTTTGGGGGTGTTGATTTGAGTCTGGAATATATGTAAATAGTCTTCAGAAGTACCGCATTATTCCTTGGAAAATATCTCAAACTAGGAATTTCTTTTCGTATTTCTATATTTTCTATATATGGCAGTGTCTCAAGAAAAGATGAAACTTTTTAACTTTCAAACATGGATAATTCTGAAACACGTGGATTTGAAGGCTCAAATTTTGACAGTGAGCTGTGAACACTATTACTGATGGCCTAAACAATTCTTGTTTCTGAGAGGTATGATTGGTAAAAAAATGGCGTATCTGTCCCTTTAAGATCCTTTGCAAAATTTCTCTTGTTGCACACTGCAGGGCGTTGCTCCTTTTCATTAATCCAATCATGATCAGAAAAGTAAATCTGCATTACATTTCAATCAGACTAATTTCTAAGTTTAAATGTTTTTAGCAACAGATCCCAAGTTGGTTGATATAAAGACCAATTAGAAATGTTCAGAGATATTACATGATAACAACTCTTTTCTCATGTAATGTTTCTGACAACTTGATTCAGATGATAAGAAAATTCTCTTAAGTTATCCCTTTATGCTTGTAGAAATGTTCATTGTAACTTATGTCCAGTAACCACAGTCACTTGTGTTCAGATTTGACTTTTAATTGATGCTGAACCAACACCTTTTAGTTTATTTTTTTTAATTTGTTTTAGGGTCTCTAAAGCTTAACGGTATATGATGATTTTAGACATTTTTTTGTGTTTTGTGTTTTTCATTTATCTTATTAGTTAGTTTGGAATTGTTGAATATTTTTGGTTTTTTTTGTTTTGACTTTAATTTGTCTTTTTTTAGATTCTTGTTTACATTGATAAATGATAAATTTTTGACAAGATTATCTCCGAAATTTCTAATAATATTTTTTGTCTGTAGTCCTCCAAATTGTATGCTTATGATTTTCTAAATGAAGTTTTGATGTAGCATTTGTCCAGGACATGTTAAAGATGGGTTCCCTCATTTTCATTTATGAAAATGAAAATGCTAATACTTTTATGAACAGAAAGTAAAGGTGTTCTAATGACTTTGAAAAATACCAGTTTGTCTCACGTGTCCATAATTAATTCATAATTAGCTAAATTAGAAGAGAATTACCAGCAGAATTCCAATAAGTGACTGATCAAAAAGTCTTTTTTTGTTTATCCAGACTGAACATACATTTATGATTGGTTAAAACTCTTAAGTTATATGCAATAAGAACATAATGATATGATTAAGTATACATGATAATTCATTAGAAACACCAATTCATCAAATAGTTTTCTTAATTTGACACTAAGATTGCAATTATTTGATTATTGTTCATGTTTCAGAAAGCCAACCTAGGAACGTTATTAGGAGTGTATCTACCATGTATTCAGAATATATTTGGTGTATTGTTGTTTGTTAGAATGACATGGATTGTTGGAATGGCAGGAGCTCTAGAATCTTTTTTTATAGTCCTTATTTGTTGTTTAACAGTAAGTATAAGGCATTAATTGCAGCATTGACCTAGTCTGGGGTTCTAGGGTCACCATGGGACAAGATAGTTGGACAGTCATAACAACTAACTGTGCCATATTGCTTGGTTGCATGAAACATATGGTAGTTGTGGGTTGTTATTTCGGTCATTATTTCTGTCTGCGTGTAAAAGTCTTGTGACAATGAACATCTTTACTCATTAGTCAACCCAAATATAAATGGATACTGATGATCAGGAAAGATCAATGCCAAGAGATTTGGTCAAGGACCAGTGGGTAGAAATTTTGTGAACCTAAATTGTTATCCTTGTAAAAAATTGTTGTTGAATTCTTTTTCTTTCGAAACAGAAACCAGAACATGGTTTTATCTTAAGATAAAAAGGATGTTGAAAGTCCTATAATGTAATAGAAAATAATTGAATGATTTCTGGCATGTAACTTGTCAACAATGTCATCCGTTTAAAACTTATACAAGAAAACTTCAAGTTGAATTGTGTTATGTTTATTGCATTACACTATTTTGACTGTTTACAAAGGATTTTGTTACATCGCTACACAATGGCTTTTGTGAGAAAAATAAGTTTTTTATGCGTATCGGGAACACTAAAGCATCAATTTACACCATTTTATTTTTCATGCAGACATCTGGGTCCTGAAAACGTAAATGTTTAATGAAGTCATAGCAAAATTTGCTTTATTTTTTTAAAGGGCTTTCGCTCTCAGTGATGTCAACAGGCACTTTGTTTTAGTGGAATTGCAGGAGTCGCAGTCATCTGATTAAAAATTGGAATGGTGCAAATTGATGCCATCAGTGTCCCTGATAAACAAATTTAGAAAACCTCGTAACAATCCCTTGAAAGAACTCTTATCTTCTGCTACATTCATTCACTTCTGTTTATTTCAGACATTATTAACGTCCATATCTATGAGTGCCATAGCAACCAATGGTGTAGTACCAGCAGGTGGAGCGTATTTTATGATATCAAGAGCTTTAGGTCCTGAATTTGGTGGTGCTGTTGGAGTATTATTTTATTTAGGAACTTCAGTAGCATCCTCCATGTATATTATTGGTGCCATAGAAATTTTAGCGGTAAGAATCATGATGATACAATCTATTTAAAATTAGATTACAATTTTGTTAAGTTATTTTTCTTTCCAAGTGTCCATTGTAATCTAAAAAGATTTATACCAAGGTCGTGTTCATGTCAACCAATCACAGCACCTAATGCAGCATGCATGTCTGAATATCTGCTATGCAGAACCCCTTAGAGCAAAAGGAAAGTAATTCGTAGTCAAGAATTACTCTGTGCAGTCAATGAAGATGAAAATTTAAGTAGTATTTAGCATGACTCTATAAAATGTATTGAAAACAGCTATTGTTTCAGCTGAACATGTAAGTGTAATTTGATATAGGCCACTAATATTGATTAATTAAATATTTTAGTATTGGACTAGAGCAAGCAATTTCTCTAATGAAATATCACTCAATTGTTTTTGAAATTGGAAGCTCTGTTTGTGACAGTTGAATGAAATGAAAGAAGTGAAAGATACAATACTGTTGAAGTCTTAATCCATGTTTCTTAATACAGGAAAGTTGTTGAGAGTTAATAGCTCAACTCCTGAAAACACTGGTGAAGGCATCAGAAATTTGACATGAATTGAGCTTCCCAACTTTTCTGACCTAATTGCTTGGCCGAGGACAATCCAAAGAATAAATGAGTTATCCAACTTTTACGGATCTGTATCAATGTCAATGAAACTTAATGTTTTCTTCATTTTCATATTTCTTTCAAGTAGCTCAGGCATAGCCAAATTCTGATGCCTCTACCAGTGTTTTTCTGAGCTGAGCTAAATCATCTCCTAATAACTTCATTGTATTGAAAAACATGGATTAAAACTTCAAGAGAATTGTAATAATTCACCTCAGGAATTCCCAATTCAAACTGACCAGTAGATTGAGTCAATGTTTTCTCTATTTTCCAGTTGTATATGGCGCCAAGTATAGCGATATTTGATGATATGTTTAATAACTATCGACTGTATGGAACAGTTGTATTAATATTATTGTGTATTGTTGTGTTTATTGGAGTCAGTTTTGTCAGTAAATTTGCTACCTTATCATTATGCTGTGTTATTATCTCTATCTTGTGTATCTATATTGGAATATTTGCTGCCAGTGTGGATAACAGTTTAGAGTAAGTATTAACCTTTTATTTTCATAGTTGTTATGTTTTTATAGAGTTTTACATTTTACTTGCCTGCCCATTCAGGAATTACAAAAGTGCTGCTTAAGCATAAGAAAATTATATTATTTAATTTACATCCTTTTTCAAACAGAGCAGTAGTATGCCGTTAGGATCTAGTTTGATACAGCATTTAGGTATTAGGAGGTGAGAGCCAACACCGGGCCAACTCTCAAAAAACCTGGCACAGGCATCAGAATTTCTCGGACCTTGAGAAGGATTCAAACCCCCAGCACCTATTTGCCGAGCAGACTTTGATTAACAATTGTGAAAGACAAGAGTACTACTGAAATTTTTAGATGTATTTTGTTGAATTTTGACAATTTTGCTTTGACACACGCTGTGATTGATCCACCCCTTCAAAGAAAATATTTGTTGTATTTACAGGGTGTGTGTATTAGGTGATAGATTATTAACATCTGAATCTGTTAAAGTTAATGGTACTATATGGTGTACTAAGAATAAAACAGGTCCTATCTTTAACCATTATTGTCATGAAGATAATGGTACTACAATCTGTGATCATTATTTTGTCCAAGAAAGTAATGAAGCTCGACTTGTTCGTGGTATTCCTGGTCTGGCTAGTGGAGCTTTTAAACGTAAGATAACAATGGATTCTTCATGAGGAGGAACATGTCTGACTAATTAGAAATTCTTATTTTTAATTTCTTATGCATAGATCTGTAGAAATATTAAATCAGATCCTTAAACATGATGATACTCAGAGTTTCACGATATGTAATCTTCAAACAACTGACCTATTTCAGCCTACGTTCCTACTGGATTTTTGAATTTTTAGAGGATTGCTTTGAGAGAAAATTTAAGAATTTGTGACAATTATATTTAGAGACATCTTTAATGAATGGTTGTAAACATTTTGTAAAGTTTTCAATATTTAGCTTATTCATATAAGATATCTGCCCATTTTGATATTTTTATTTTCATAGTTTCAGTTATATATAGCTTACACAATTAGCAATGTTATTCTTTTTTTTTACTAGAAAATTTCCACAACTATTACACTGAAGCAGGTGACATCATAGGATCTGAAATTCCTGGAAGTAATAGGAGAGGAGAGATTATTGCTGATATAACAACATCTTTTATGATTTTACTGGCTATTTACTTTCCCTCTTGTACTGGTATGTTCTCCATTCTTATTTTCTTTATAAATAATTAGTACACCATTGATATTCATGGATTATAGAAATTATGTACTGTATAATAGCAAATATAATGTGCATCTTTGTTTATTGTTTATTTTAGGAATAATGGCAGGATCTAATAGGTCTGGTGATTTAGCAGACGCCTCCAAGTCTATACCAGTTGGTACTATATTAGCTATTGTTACAACATCTTTTGTCTGTATCCTTAATACATGTTAACTTATTTTATCATTATATTCTTCCCGAAGTTTGCTTTGTTATCATTAAACAGGTCCACAATATACACTTAGATTGGTTATAAAAAAAAAGGTTAGTAGAACAGGACTGTGTTAGGAAAGTTTGTTAGATTACAATGGAGACAAAAGATATCAGAAAACAAAAAAACAACAACACAGTAATGAAATGATGGATGGTAAAATGAAAAATGAGATTTGTTTCATGCTTTTCTGTAAAATTTGAAATTTTTGACATAGTTCATAGTTATCTGTGTTCATTTCAAGCAGATTTCCTTTTTTTTTCCATTGACCTTCCATTAGATATAACATGTGTATTTTTCTTCGCTGCTTGTATAGAAGGCCATTTATTACGTGACAAGTAAGTCTATTAATTCTTAAAAACATCAAACACAAAGGGATAATATTTCAAAGTCAAATGATATAATTTATCTAACTAATCTAGTTCCTTCTAGATTGGTTGTTAATCTTGTAAAGTACAAAGCATTTACTGGTAAATGTTTGAATTTGAAGTCTTCAGATCTTAGTATGGAAGGAGTCACCCTCAGAAAATAAATGGAACTGAATCTGAACTGTATTTTATCAAATTGTTGCAAATTTCTTTGATATAGATATGGTGAAAGCATTGACGGTGGATTAACTATTGGATTTTTAGCTTGGCCTAATGAATGGGTTATTATGATTGGTTCCTTTTTGTCAACATTAGGTGCAGGACTACAATCTCTTACTGGTAAGATAAAAAGATTGTTATGAATTTTACTGTAGAGTTGTCAAATCATAGCGTAATTGGATTCTAGATTAATTAAAGATAAATTTAAACAGATCTTTAAGAGGTTTTCTTTTCATGTGAATTGGAGATACTGATGGCATCAATTTGCACCATTCTAATTTTCAGTGAGATGTCTGTAGCTCTTTATAATTCCTTTAAAGCTCACATATCTTTGTTATATTTTAGGTGCTCCTAGGCTGCTTCAAGCTATTGCCAAAGATAATGTGATACCATTTTTAAATATATTTGGGGCTACAACTAAAAAGGGGGAACCATTCCGTGCCTTATTATTAACAGCAGTTATATCTGAAATAGGAATATTAATTGCCAGTTTAGATTATGTAGCACCCATCATTACCATGTAAGTCATTTTTTTATGATGAAAATTATTTTTCAAGTAGGACATAATCACCTCTGTACTGTTGGCTGTACTTACTATATAACTTAGTGTTTGGAAATTACAAAGAGTCTGTCGATTTATCAACTTTATTCTTGCTAAAAATAGCAATACTAGAACTAGAATCTGTCTTCCTTGTAAAGGTAAGGATTAAGACAACATTGCTTAGTGATATATTGAAATTTCAGGTTCTTTTTGATGTGTTATGGTTTTGTTAATATGGCCTGTGCTCTACAGACACTGTTAAGAACTCCTAATTGGAGACCAAGATTTAGATTTTATCATTGGTATGTTGGTTCCTTTGTATTAGAGTGTTTATATTTATCTAGCTTGTTGATTGTGTTGTGGAATATAAAGCACAATCTCATTTGAGTTGTCTCTCATTTGAACAAAAGAAATATATCACAAATGATACAAAGTGTCCATATCAATTTAACCCTTTCAACTTTTCCAATAGTTTTATAGATTTATTGGATTATAGAGGGAGTCTGATAAACAATGACTCATTTTACAAAGTTTTAAAAATTTCAATTTTTTTGGTCATCCTAAGAGGTAGCAAATGAATTGACTCTTTCCATACAATTTGATGGATTTGATAAATTTCTGCTTTCAGGACATTGTCTTTGATAGGGTTATCTCTTTGTATAACTCTTATGTTTATATCTAGTTGGTACTACGCCTTAGCTGCCATTGCTCTTGCTTTTTGTATCTATAAATACATTGAATATAAAGGGTAAGCATTGAATTTTCTATTTTTATCTTTGAAAATTTGCTCTCCAACAAACCTTAAGGGACAGATTCACCATCCGTTTGACCAATTGTACCTTAGCCTCAGAAACAGGATTTTTAAGCTTAGCTCATCAGTAATAATGTTAACAACTCACTGTTGAAATTTAAGCCTTCAATTCTATGTGTGCCCGGAAAAGTTAATATGACAAGTTGTCTTTATTTGAGATGGCATGTATAGACCAAAAAATATATAGAAATAGAAGTATAATCATAACCAAACATAAATATCTGTATGTTTTACTCTGATAGAGCTGAGAAAGAATGGGGAGATGGTATAAGAGGATTAGCCATGTCAGCTGCTAGATATGCTTTATTACGATTACAAGAAGGTCCACCACATACTAAAAACTGGAGGTAAGAGACTATAGACATCAAACAGAGAGTGCTTTACTGAATTTAAGGATTTAATTTCTATATATAGACATATGATGTCATACTAATGAAAGCTTGGCAGATTTATATACAATCCAATATTTGATGTTATGTGCAGGTTTGATTAGGTTACTTTTAAGAGTGTTTTTGCAATTTCATGCTTTGAAAATGCCATTTTGCAAGCAGATTTTTAACAAAAATTGATGAAATTGTATGATGGTTTGGATTGTTGCATCTTGTAATTATGTTGTTAGAACTGTCTAAAATTTCTATCTGTTTATATGTTATTTTAGACCCCAATTGTTGGTATTGATGAAAGTTGATGAGAATTTACAACCAAAATATCCTAAATTAGTTACATTTGCTGGTCAGTTGAAAGCTGGTAAAGGTCTAACAATAGTGTCCAGTGTCTTGGAAGGAAATTATATAGAGAGATATGCTGATTCACAGGCTGCTAAACTTGTAAGTCTTCTAATTCAAAAAGTTATCTCTTCTCTGTCAGATTGTGTCAATTATGTAATTTTTACTAGTGCTGGCATGGTATATCGATGAATTGGTTCATTGTGATATCATGTTATGATACTCGTATCTCTTGGTCATGTATCGATATTTGACAATACCAGTCATACTAGACAACTTGTATACTTGTATAAGTAAATGTCATCAAAATGGAAATAAAAAAACCAGCAGGTTTCCTGGCTGTCCTGACAAAATTTCCCTCATTGCACACTGTTTATATTAGCCCACTAGATGCAGAAAGTAGGATGTACATCTCTATTTATTTATTTCATTTATGATATTGTAGAATTTAGACAAGTTATTGAAAGAAAGTGGTGTAAAGGGTTTTTCTGATGTTAACGTGGCCACTAAGACATCTGATGGTTTATGTTACTTGTAAGTAGGGTTTCATCTTCTCAGGGAACTAGGGTACATGCTTGGTAAGTAAGTGGTCTCAAACAGAATCAATTCTACCCAACTGTAAATGAGTACTGATAATTTAGAAAGGACCTATGCCAAGAGGTTTGGCTTAAGACCAGCTATTTGAGAGTATCCTGGTGATTTTATGTTGTTTTCCTTGTGAAAATGACAATTTTTTTCTCATGCCTATTTCCATATTTGAATTGTGTTTACAGAGTACAGAATACTGGATTAGGTGGATTAAAACATAATACAGTAGTGATGGGATGGCCATATGGTTGGAGACATACTGATGATGAAAGAAGTTATAAGATCTTCATAGGTACTTGAAGTTTTATATCTTATTCTATATCTTTTGTTTTGATAAGTATTGATAATATATTGATTATGTATATAGATGACACACAGATATTTTAACATAGTCCGTAAGAGCTGAAAGTAAACTTCCAAACATAGGACTTAAGGTATATGGCCACATAAGCAAACTCACTGAACAAGTTATATGATTTGGTATCTTTACAAATAGATTTTTATTAGGTCATTGTTAAAGCAATTTCAAGATATTACTTTAAAACATAAATGACCTCATCATAAATGACCTTATCATAAATGACCTTATCATAAATGACCTTAGCTTGTCTTTAAATTAATGTTCTGAACTTGTCGCAAAGTGTAGACATGAAAATAAGTCCTAAAATAGGTCAGTTGTCTGAAGATTGCATCGTGTTAAACATTGAGTAACAACATGTTTCAGGTTCTGTTTTAATATTTCCAAATGACTACTATGCTTACCTGTTGTAACTTTATTACAGATACAGTACGTAATGTCAGTGCAGGACAGATGGCGTTGCTAGTATTAAAGGGAATTAATCAGTTTCCTGAATCGAATGTTAAATTACGAGGTACAATAGATGTATGGTGGATTGTTCATGATGGTGGTCTATTGATGTTATTACCATTTTTACTACGACAAGATAAATCATGGAAAAACTGTAAATTGAGAATATTTACTGTAGCACGTATCCTTTTGAAGATAGTCAAAAATTGCATTTCACATGAACATACCTTAATAAGCATTGCCAGTCAATTGAATGCTTGTGGCTCTTGCTACCAGTCTTCTTGGTTTCATGTACTTGTCTATTTGTCTAGGAACTGTACTGGTTATTTTTGTAAAATACTGATATTGTGTCATGTAGCTATTTATTTGGCAAGCTTCTTTGCCAATTGACTCAATATATTTCAAACTAGATAGCAATGCTATTAGACAATTTAAGCTCTTTTTAACAATATTTTTCATCTTCCTTGACTGTATGTTATTCAGAGGTTGAAGATAATTCTATTGAAATGAAGAAAGATTTACAGATGTATTTATATCAACTACGTATACAAGCTGAAGTTAATGTTATTGAAATGGTAGGTTTTACATGATGAAATATACAAGATATATCATAGAAAGATACTAATGCATATCCCGGCCTGATTGACAACATAAATGCAGTAACATAAGACAGCCAGTCTGCAAAATGTGATAAATGCTTTACCTATATTTTATAGTGCTGTTTGTGACAATCTAATGTAATTGTAGGCTGGCAACGATATCTCAGCTTATACATATGAACGAACACTCATGATGGAACAACGAACTGAAATGTTACAACAAATGAGAGTTAAGAAAACCGAGGTAAGAATAAATCATAAACTTTAGACAGTGGTGGAGTTTTAAGTGATTAATTAGTTGGTCATTATGAATGAATCTCTTGGTTTCTATCACAATGTTACTTTATCTTGATGCTATCACAAAGTTATGATCTCCTGGTTACTATCATAATAAATGAGCTGGTTGCTATCATAATATTAAATGATCTCCTGGTTGCTATCGTAATATTAAATGATCTCCTGGTTGCTATCATAATATTAAATGATCTCCTTGTTGCTATCATAATATTAAATGATCTCCTTGTTGCTATCATAATATTAATGATCTCCTGGTTGCTATCTTAATATTAAATGATCTCCTGGTTGCTATCTTAATATAACATGATCTCCTGGTTGCTATCATAATATTAAATGGTCTCCTGGTTGCTATCATACTATTTAATGATCTCCAGGTTGCTATCATGATATTAAATGATCTCCTGGTTGCTATGATGTTTTGTTCTCACCCAAATGCTATGTTATGTTTGCACCGAGATCCTATATGAATATGTTATTTTGAGTAATATTGAATTGTTGATATATTTCAGCCACAATCTATTATTGATAAAGCCCATATTACTGATGGTAAAGATATCAAGATCACACTTGATACAGTTCCTGAAGAAGATACAGAGTCTTCTACTGATCCCACCCTCCCTGATAGAAACCAATTTACATTTACACCACAAAATATACATAAAACCAAATCCACTGGTCAAATGGGAAATAATCTGTTTAATGTTAAACCGTAAGTAGAAATTAAAGGGTGTGTTCCAGTCTTTTAAAAACAAGTATTTTGACTCAAATGGCCTAGAATATATGTGAAGTGAATTTTGATTTTTACATTACTGTTTTATGAACTACTCTTTTCAGGGATAATATGAATGTACGCAGAATGCATACAGCTGTACGATTAAATGAATCTATAGTAGAAAAATCTCACGAAGCCCAAATGGTTATTTTGAATTTACCTGCTCCTCCTAAAACATCCGCTGGTGAAGAAAGTTGTATCCTTTTTGAATTATGATCGAATTTTGAATAGTTGTTTTAATAATAACTGATTTTCATAGAGAATAGAATGTGCTTAGTTCAATATGAATATAGAAATAGTTCAGTTTGGTCGCATGTTGTATTGTCATCTGCTATGTATATAGGTGCTATAGGTTTGAAAGTTACTACTTTGAAGCCACTGCAACTGCTTCGAAGAGTCAAAAAAGTGTTGGCCTTTGCATGCTAAAATAGGTGTATCTGGTTAGGGTTCGTTAGTAGTATATGAGTTTATAGATAGGGGGCACCTTTCGTTAAACCAGTATCTATTCAAAAAAAGTAAAAATTTTACATGCTTCTTGCCCAGTTATCATTTTCACAAAATTTAAATTGCTCATTAGAAATATTAGTTACCCTTAACTCACAAAAAGATATGGAATTTTTAGAAGTTTTAACAGAAGGATTGGATAGAGTTCTGATGGTGAGAGGAAGTGGACGTGAAGTCATCACTATTTATTCCTGATCTGTTTACCATATCAACCACAATAATGTATATCTACGCATAGCTATTGTTTAACATAGGACTGAAATGAGTCAATAAGCATGAAGTAAAAATGAGAAATCACTAGTGCAAGTCATGTGATGACTGTCTTGTAGGCTAGACATTTATTATTTACTGATCTTCAAAAGAATATTTGTGTATCAAATTACGAAAGTCATCGCATGAACTAAAAAATTAAACCATATAGTTAAATTGGCCATTTCAGTCCTATACACGAACAACATTGTGTTCAATGGGAAGAAACAAGTCTAGTTAGTTAGAGAGGTAGTAAGGGGTATAGAATAATCAAATTTATGAACCCACCAAAATATAATAATCTTAGTGCTGATATATTGCTTAAATATGTATTCATACGCAATAAGTTTTAGGAATTGTAAAGAGATATTCTAAAATGTGTATCAGGGACACTGATAGCATCAATAAGCACCATTCCAATTTTCAGTTCAACATATGTGGTTCCTCAAATTCCTCAAACCATAAGTGTTTGATGACATCACTAATCGAAAAATATGCTTTATGACATAATTCCTTTCACGATTAGTGACGTCATCAAACACTCAAAAGTTTTAGTGGAATTGAAAATTGAATGGTGCAAATTGATGTTATCAGTATCCCCAATACATATAAAAACTTCGGAAAACCTCTTTACAATCCCTTTAAGGATCATCACATGAAGAATTATTTTTTGTTTTTTATGATGAAAGGGATATTTTTATAAATTGTGTACATATAAATGTATATTATATATTATATAGTGATTTTATATAAGGTGATATCAGAATAATACCAGTTTAATTAAGATATCTTGTGTTGATTTATATTAGGATATCTGAAATTATTTATTTATTTATATGTGTCAAATGAAGAAATCGAAAATCCAAATGATTAGCTAGTCATTTAATTAGCCTATATACTTTTATAGTAACTATGTCTCATACAGTTAATACATATTGAAAGATTTCTTTGGTTGTATGCAGAAATTTAAAACTATCTGAAATTTCTGGAATTTTGGAAATGGAAAGCAGATTCATTTTTTTCCCGGATAAGAAATGTGAAAAGCTTTGCTGCCTACGCTTCCCAAAAGACCAGAAATGAATTCAATGGTCACTTACCATTTATATACCATACCATATGTATATACCAGTAATTGTATTGTAGACAATACACACTAATACATATTTAAAATTTGAGTTTATGCTTTAATCCATGATCTGTTTAACTGCGAATTTTACAATACCACATCTGAAACAAAACCTAATTGTGAGAAAAGGAAATACCATGAAAATAACTAAACTAAAGACTAAACTAGATCTGAACAAAAAGAATATAGTAATCACTTTTAATGTGAGGTTTTCTGTTTGTCTTGTATATTTTTTCTGATCTTAATATTTTGATAATTTAAAATTGCGGGTATAGTTTTTGTTAAAATATGTAAAGCTCAACGATAATTGGACCCTTTAAGTTAAATTTTTCTCAGTTAAATCTCTAATATTTTGAGAAATGAAATGGAACATATTTTTCTCTTTATTTTTACTTTAAGTTGCTTTTTTTCTTTTTCCACTTGTTTGACTTATTTATAGATATTGATATATGCCTGGTTATATTTTAAGTTTTTGACATGGGTAATTATTTCATGACATGTTATTTATTTATCTATATCTATACATGTACTGTTATAATTGTTATTATATACAAACTGTTAAATATATTACAGTAATTATATGTAAACCTCTTGATCAAAAGATAGCATTGTCAATCGCACTATTTCAACATAAATCAGAGCTTAATTTTTCTAATTTTTTCTACTAGACAATAGATAATTTAAGTAGTACGGATTCATAGAAAGCTCAAAGCATTTAGAGAAATTCGTAAAAAAAAAAGCCACAATTAAAGCTTCAGTATGTGAATTTTTATTTTATTTTTTTTGTTAGAGAATCTAGTTCTGATTATTTAAAAATTTATCAGCCATTTTGAGAACAAATGGTTTGCTCATAGACAATATAGCAAGTCATATTGCTAGGAACAAACCTATGTTGATATCATGCTGGTCTTGTCAGTTTTTATATATAAAGAAAATTCAGTACTTCCTAGATTTATTTTATTATAAAATATGTCAAGAATTTTTGTAATAATGTATTTTATATGATCATTTTTTTTCTACAAACTTTGCTGTTGAAATATATGGTATTACTTTGAACTGAGGCTACAGAAAAGGGCTGTTTTCTTGTTGGTCTTTGGCTTGCTGGAAATCGAATTTTATGAAAAATAATTTCATATCTTTCATATGTTTATTATGTATAGGGTTAATTTTGAACAAGAAAATCACAATAGAAATATACTTAACCACGGATAAAGTCTGTCTGTTTATCTGTCTGTCTGCTAACCAACTAGACAGGAATGATAATTATAACTGATTAATCATGTAATCAAAATATTATTTAATACAATTGTATGATAGCTTTAAATGTTCAACATTCACTGGACAAATTAAGAAATATAAAATTAATTTTCATGGTTTGTTAATGGCAAATGGTCATCAAATTTTTGTCTGTATCAGCTGATAAAGCTCGATTTCAGATACCCATAAAGCTTGATTTCAAATATCCATGCAACTTTACAGAAATCAATTACAACATATGGTTTTAATAAAATTAAATGAAAAGTGAAAGTATAACTTCCAAGACACAATATTATGAGGTTAACTGCCAGTTGTAGCTTTACATAATATATTCAGTTAACAGACCATGAAATTCTGAAGATGTATTTTTCATAGATCATGTCATGTATATAGTTTTATATTGAACATTTCATTTTATATTTAAAACATTATCCTCTATTCCACATAAATCATATATAGACCTACATGTAAGAAAATAATTTCAAAAATTGTTTATAAAATTATTTTACTAATCTAAAAATTATGTTGACAGCCAATAGTATTTCATAGAAATGCCATAACAAAATTTTAACAAAGTATTTTTAGCCATTGCAAAACATAATTTGTTTGTGAATAACCATCAATTATTTTTCTTGTGTGTGTTTTTCAGAAATATTTAATACTTTTAGGTAACCTACAATAAGGAGACATTTTCACTAATTTGAATAATTTGAAATAATAACATATTATTTAACCCTAACATGCTGGGAATTTAACATCCATTAGTTCCAATCTAGCTCTTGTGATGGTGATGATCTATCTGAAATAGGTGGCCAGGATGAGTTCTTACCATATGTAAGATGTTATGTGTAGACCATAAGACTTGAATATATTGTAGGTCTTTTTGTATCCATCATTATTTAACACAATAACCTGTCACTTGTTACAATTCCGTCTTTGTGTCTGTTGTAAAAAAGCAAAATATAGAAATAAAAAATATTCACATAGCTTGGCTTGTAATATATGTTTTTCAAAGTTTTTGATGCCCTCGATAGATTTGTAACATGAAGATTGTGAAACAGATGATCGTTAAGCATCTGGACACATCAGAACACAGAAAAGTGTCAATATCAGCAGACGTTTAACATGCAGACTAATTCACTGTAACAAGAGAATCAACAAAAAGTGCCCTGTTATTATTAGAATGTCTTCAGACAAAAACATACAGAGCATTGTCACGGCGATGTAATAAACAATCTTCTCGGAAAAGAGCTATTACTATTATTTTGTTTCCAACAAATTTGTGTTCAGAAATCTTTGTTTGAACAAGATAAGACCCTTTCTTAAGCTAACCCCATTTGACTTGGAAAGAAAAGGTAACCCAACCCTAGTTAACCCGAACTCCTATTCTAATCGACCTAGGTCTCCATGACCTGATGGTTTTCGCACTTGCTCGGCAACTTTGAGGTCGTTGGTTTGATTCCGGTTTTTTTTATTAGCGTAGGTCAAACACTGTCTCCTATCATTTTAAGTACCGGGTACTGGTATGTATATAAAAGGGATCTGCGCCTATGGTCGTACAGAGTTGCGTCGAAAGATCGGTAAGTAGCCTATTCGCCGGCGAACTTCCTAAAAAGTTACTGTTAAACTAATCGTCTGGATAATCTGACAAACTTTGGGAAAACTGGAGTTATGTCCCTTGATTATTAAAGTCAGAAATCCAAGCCTTAGTCGAAATGTTTCATTTATAAATAAATTGAATATTGAACAGGATTCAAATAGATTTACAAGCTTGTCGTTAATCAAATATACCTACATATTATAGACCTTGGGTCAGATGAATGAATAGGTTACAAGAATGAACAAAACAGACTAGGAAATTGTTTTTAGTTTTAGAAATGGCCGCGCGATTCACAGTAAATGTATCAAATGCTGACGAACCAGAGAATGGCGAGTCCACATCTAGCTATTATCCTGAAAACAAACGCGGAGAATTTGATGAAATACACCTAGAAGACGCTTGTGGAAAACCCATGGAAAATTACAGTGGAGGTAATGTATCATATAGCACATTGGCCAAGGCCATAGAATGATAGATTTAATGAAATAATTTTTTTGTTTACCTTCTTTTTAAAATAACAAACACATTTTTTATTACCCGGTAACCAAATTTTGGTAGAAGTAGGCCTATGGATCTGTTGTATTGATCTTAATGAAATCATCCATATTATTAAGATTTTATATGTTTCAGGTGTAGCCTTACCGAAGGAAGACAGTGTAACCTCTACCAACTATGGTTTATATCATGTAAGACATTTAAAATTGTCATTTAGTTCTTAAAAAAATACAAACTATCGTATTGTCTGCACTGGGTAACATTAGACAAGCATTTGATGCTGATGATTTGTGTTCAATGTTTTTCAGGAAGATTTACGGCACGCTAAGTTACCTCGTCTATTGTCTGGTATAGCACATTATAAAGCTGGTATTGCACCTGATCCAGAACTACAAGATAGTGATAGACAACATAAAACAGTTAGTGATATAAGTATATGAAATAAGCATATAGGATATGTAGCTGAGATGAAAAACCTATTCACCTAGGTTATGTGGACCCTCTGAATGCCAGCATTAAGAGTTTCAGAAGATTGAGTACTCGACTAATCCTTACAGAATGGTAACCTGTTAACTGTGACCTGATTGGGGCCATAATGTATCGTTTGAAATATTCACTATGTGTCTTAAGTTTTGAACATTTCATAATCCTTCCAGCTGACTGCAATTTATTCTTTCAGAATGCTAACCTTGGTACAATATTAGGAGTGTATCTACCATGTATTCAGAATATATTTGGTGTGATATATTTTGTAAGGTTGGCATGGATTGTTGGTATGGCTGGCTCTTTAGAAGCTTTCACTATTGTTCTCATCTGCTGTTTTGTGGTGAGTATGCTTTCATTCTGCTCGGAATTACTGCGCTTGAGTGACCATACATCAATGGCTTTGACCACAATGAATGTCAATCCAATATTGATAATAAAATTATGTCTGATATGAAGCAAACTATGCTTAGGTAAGCTTACGAAAACTGTAGCGTACCGGAGGCAAGGAGGCATATCTCACTTTTTTTTTAGATAAGCAAGTCCATACGACCCCCACCCTTTTTACCATATTAAACTCAGGCTCCAGTCGTTGGTAGTATTTTGGCATATTATTTCCTTTAGCAACAGTACGATGATTAAAAAGCATTACATGTTCATGAACACCACATCATGTCCGATTTGTGTCATTCATGTAGAGTAAGATTATTTTAAACTTTGTTTTTGAGTCCTCTTCAAGTGTTTTAAACTACTTTTTTCAGAGTTTATTAACATCCTTCTCTATGAGTGCTATAGCCACTAATGGTGTAGTGACTGGTGGTGGAACCTATTTCATGATCTCCAGAGCTCTAGGACCAGAATTTGGTGGAGCTGTAGGAATACTCTTCTATTCTGGTCTCTCTATATCAGTAGCCATGTATCTAATTGGTTCTGTGGAGATTCTACTGGTAGGAAACTTTTCAAATTCTTATACGAACATTTCATTATGTTTGAAAATCAGGGCTGTTGATTTAATTGCATTCGCCAGCCACGTCTGATCAAATATCCAAAATGTGTGCGTGTACTTGCTATTATTGCTTGTTATTCCTTGGTGATTTTCCAATTTTTGCTATAGATAATAACTGAAATTTCATTTCAGACCTACATGGCACCAATGATGTCGTTGTTTGGAGATACTACAGTGTTAGCTAATCAACACAATAATTTCCGTGTTTATGGCTCTATATTATTATTTCTATTGGGTGTAGTGGTATTTGTTGGAGTGAAATTTGTATCTAAAGTGTCCACATTAACACTGTGTTGTGTTATAATTTCAATTGTTAGCATCTTTCTTGGCTTCTTTACATCAAATACAGATAATAGTGTCAAGTAAGTAAAATTTCAATATAATTCATGCTATAAAATCATGCATTGTTTAAGCAAATTTGCCGCACACAGAACAGTGGTGGCGTCATCCGCCCGGGGGTGGGGTGCAAAGAGAGGGGGGGGGACGACTGACAAAAGACAAAATTGAGACTGCATCTCAGACATGTGAAGCATCATGGACATGTGGAGCATCATGAACAAGTGAAGCATCATGGACAAGTAAAATATCATGGACAAGTGAAACATAACGGACATGTGAAGCATCTTGGACATGTGAAGCATCATGGACAAGTACAACATCATGGACAAGGGAAACATAACGGACATGTGAATCATCTTGGACATGTGAAGCATCATGGACAAGGGAAACATAACGGACATGTGGAGCATCTTGGACATGTGAAGCATCATGAACATGGGAAGCATCATGGACAAGTTGAAACATCATGAACAAGTGAAGCATCGTGAACAAGTGAAGCATCATGAATAAGTGAAACATTATGAACAATTGAAGAATCATGGTCAAGGGAAACATAACAGGCATGTGAAGCATCTTGGACATGTGCATCATCGTGAACATGGGAAGCATCATGGACAAGTAAAACATCATGGACAAGTGACACATCTTGAGCAAGTCAAGCATCATGAAGCATCATGTACAAGTGAAGCATCATGGACAAGTGAAACATTATGAACAGGTGAAGCATCATGGACAATAAGGGAAAGGATGTACAATATTTAATAAATCTTGTATATTTGATTGTAGATTATGTATGTTAGGGGATAGATTATTAAGCTATGATAAGGTAAATGTTAATGGAGTGGTAATATGTAGTAAAAATGAAAGTGGACCTATATATAATAATTATTGTCATCTGGTGAACAATACTATGGTCTGTGATGATTATTTTATTAATAATCCTACTCAAATGATAGCTGGTACACCAGGACTTATTAGTGGTGTTTTCTTTGGTAGGTAGTTTTCTGTTTATCAATTACTTTAAGATGCTGCCTGTTGTTGCGTAATTTATTACTTTGCATGCCAGACATTATTATGAGCAATGCGAGGTTGGTTAAAGACTAGCTGGTAGACAGGATTCTTAAGAACCTCGGTTGTTAGCCATAGCTTAGTTTTGTTCCCCTATAAAACTCTATGAGGCTATTTAATCAAAATGGATACTGATAATAAAGTAAGAATGCCTGGTTCTTGTAGATAATCTATGGGAGAAATATTCAGTAGCTGATAAAATTATTGGTACTGATATACCTGGTGATAGAAATAGGGGTGAAATATTGACAGATATTACAACTAGTTTTATGATATTATTAGCTATATACTTCCCTTCTATTACAGGTAAGATATTTCTTAAAGTCATATTGACTATGACCTCTCATTTATGCAAATTTTAGGAACATTTCCATAAGATTAAAAATCTGTCTAAATTTTGAGTGAAAGTCAGATGTACTCTTTCTTTGATGCCTATCTCAAATATGATTGTATAATTCCAGGGTTTGAACAAGGAGCCAATTACTCTGGTGATTTAGCAGATGCTCAAAGATCTATACCAGTTGGTACTATGTGGGCGGTTGTTTCTACCTCAATTATTTGTATCCTTGTGTGACATAGTTACTTCCCTTGTCATAGTTACCTCCCTTGACACAATTTGTCTTGTCAAAATCTATCATATCCATGCAAGAGCAATATTTACGTACAAAATGTAGACATCATCTTATCATTTTATGCATAGCTGATACACCTGTGCAGTTATTTCATCATACTTTGAATAGAAATAGACATAAGAACATTTTTCAACGAAAATTATCTCCCTTGGATATAAAATGCTAAAATGCTATTTGCTTTAACCATTTCATTAGACTTATCAACTGTTTTATTTTTTGGTGGAACTGTTCATGGAAGTTTTCTACGAGATAAGTAGGTCTGGTTTTATTTTAGTTGGTCAATGTACATTACGTACACCAATGTTTTAAAATCAGTTTATAATTTGTTAACTGTCCAATACCTTCTGTTCTTGCCCTTTTTTATGATTAGAAGGATTGTGTTGCATTGTAAGCGAATTTAACACTAGAATGTTATTTTGACAAGTGATACAGATAGCTATAGTTGAGCTCTGTTAGCCAGTTAATCGAACAACAAGTGAATGACTATATTTGTTTAATTTCATGTAGGTTTGGTGAGAGTATTGGTGGTGAATTATTAATATCAAAATTAGCCTGGCCTAGTAAATGGCTGATTCTTGTTGGCTCGTTCCAATCTACAGTTGGTGCTGGGCTTCAAGCTTTAACAGGTACAGATCTCTTTTACTTTTTACAAGAATTTCCCTAAAAAGAAGTCGGAAATAACAATGACTGAAAAGCAACTTATTCAACAGATTGGAGAAACTGATCTGATACACATGTTTCTCATATAGACAGAAAGTCAAAAAAATGGAAGTTAATTTTTTAGTATTGAGCATAGTTAAAGTGAAATCACAGCACACAAGTGAGAATCAAATTTCTCTATTAATGGATATGCACCAATATATAAGAAATTTAGTTATTGATATTGTATTTTAGGTGCACCAAGACTACTTCAAGCTATAGCTAAAGATAATGTGATACCATTTCTACAGATATTTAGAGTAACAGCTAAAAATGGTGAACCTGTTCGTGGCTTGGTATTGACATTGGTTATAGCTGAAATTGGAATTCTTATAGCACGTCTGGATTATGTAGCACCAATAGTAACCATGTTTTTTTTGTTATGTTATGGTTTTATTAACATGGCTTGTGCTTTACAGACATTGCTACGAACTCCACACTGGCGACCACGATATAGTTACTATCATTGGACTCTATCATTACTAGGTGTATCATTATGTTTATCATTAATGTTCATATCAAGTTGGTATTATTCTTTAGCTGCTCTATTTTTGGCTTTTGCTGTTTATAAATACATTGAATTTAAAGGGTAAGTTGTAATTCATAATTATCATTTTTCCAAAACATGTCTAGACTTATAACTCTGTTAAAATACCATGATATCATTCTGCAACTGTGTTTGTCAAATCTCCATTAGACATTCAACAATATAACAATATTTATTTGCATCTGGGAATTGGAACAAAGCAGGGCTGTTGATTTTGCTCTTTATTGTTAATCTATTTGAAATGTTGTAGAGCTGAGAAAGAGTGGGGAGATGGTATGAAAGGTCTGTCAGTAGCTGCTGCTAGATATGCTTTATTAAGATTAAGAGGTGAAAGTAAACATACCAAGAATTGGAGGCAAGTTCAACTATTATCTAATATGTAATAACTACACCATACAATAGTTGTTATTACGGCTGTGTGTAACACTTTTTAAAATGAAAATTTGAAAATATGTTTCTTAACAATTAATCAAAAAAAGGTTTTTGGAAGATGATAAGTTGATGTGTGAAAGACTAAATTTATTATTTCAGACCACAGTTTTTAATTCTGATGAAACCAGATATAGCTCTGTTTCCAGCTCATCCTCAGATGCTGAAACTAGCTGCTCAGTTAAAAGCTGGTAAGGAAATATTATTAAATAAATCCTGAATTGTTCCACTAAACTCTCTCCACCATACCTTTTGATTGATATTTCATTGAAAATATTTTACATTATTTTAGAAAAGTATGTGCGGTAATTTCTTGTGCTTTTCTAGATGAGATGTGTATTATGTAAAATTCAAGCTGTTCTGGTATCCAAATTTAAAAGGGGCAAAGGGAAATCTGGATGGATTCAAGCTTTGAAATTACTAAAATCATATGTGAAAGGTGTATGGAATTTTCCTGCCTTTAGGGGATTGGAATCCAATCCAATTACTTCAGGACTGTTTTATAGGCCTATATTTATATGATTGATTATATATTGTAATAGGTAAGGGAATAACACTAGTAAATACAGTTATAGAAGGGAATTTCACTGATAAAATAGTTGAAAGTAAAGCAACTATGAAGGTAGTACATTTTTTGTATTCTATTTTCAAAATTTTCATTGTAATACTTAAAAAATAGAATTTGAAATCTGATAAAATTTATACAATTTTCAAATGGAAATTTGATACAATATCAAAGCATCTTCAGCTGGTTTGTAATTAATTAAAATTGTTAATTGTAGATTTTAAATGACTATATTGAAAGATTTGGTGTAGAAGGTTTTGCTGAAGTTGTATGTTCTGAAGATCTTGTTCAAGGTATCAGTCATAGGTAAGTGATTCATCATTTAAAAAGGCAGATGGTGATACATACGCAACTCTTTAGTCCTTGGTCAAAAACATGAATTCAAAAAGCCTTTTTCCAGTATCTCTATTAAGTAACTTGCATTGTTGATTCCAATATAACAAATTCTCCAAAACTTCAATTATTGTTTACAAAGCTCCATCTTCACACTGTCAAGCGTTTACGAATTTCATACTTATACCTTGACAGCAAAAGTCAACTTTCTTGTATCATGGAAGTTTGTAAATGAAGAAATTTGATTGGATTGTACGCTAGACAAAACAGCCAACAGAAGCCTTATCAGAAAAAACCTATGAGCACAGAGCTTTAATGTTTACAGCCTCTGTACAATCAAATCAAATCACTGTTTTCTGTGATACAAGAATAATGGCTATTGTAGTCAAGGTATAAGTACGAAGATCCTAATAGATTGATATCGTGAAGATGACAGCTCCTGATATTAGATAGTTATATTTTCAGCATTCAGACAGCTGGTTTGGGTAAATTGAGACATAATACTGTTATGATTGGTTGGCCGTCTGGTGTTACTGAAGATCCTGAAAAATCATATCGCTTTCTTAGTGAGTATAATTTTAATCTTTCATTGAGGTATTGTGAAACATATTTAAAACATTAGGTTCATACATGAGATTTTTTCTTTTTTGTCTATCAAATCAGTTGCTATGGATTTGAGGTCAACAGGATTATATAAGCTTTGGCTACCGTATTTCCCTAATTAAACTAACTACACTACATCTATGTTCTTGGCTTTTGTTGTAGGTATTCTACAGTCTGTAACAGCAGCTGATTTATCATTGATAATAATGAAGGGTACAGACAAGTACCCTGATGTTGCAGAGAAACTTTACGGTACTATTGATGTATGGTGGATAGTTCATATCCTTTGTCATTCAACTAGTGGTCATAATCAGTACTTTGATACATTCTGCAGATCATTGGCGGTGCAAGCCTCCCACTGGCGCCGCCACTGATTTTCAAGCCTGGTTTCTTATTTAAATGGACTAAGTGACTTTCAGATAGGACAATAAACCAAAGCCCTGTGATGTTCAGGCTTCCTTGTTACATGGGAGCAGAAATATAGTATGGTCCGTCAACAATAGTTTCAGACTGTGGTCAAAGAGTAGGCTAATACCTCATTGCACCCTCATAGCCCAATTGTAGTGCTTTCCATTTCATGTCAGATATTTGTTAAATTCCTTAACCTAAAGTAAATGATGGAGGAATGTTATTACTATTAGCCTTTTTATTGGCCCAGAATTATACCTGGAAAAACTGTAAACTACGAATATTCACTATAGCTCGTATCCTTTTTAATATCCAATCAAATTGCTGGTTCTTCTGTCACTATTGAAGACAGGTAGCATCTAATTTAATGTTTATGGGTTATGATGCACAGCAAGCTTTCTTTGTCAAATTCAAATTAAAAGAAGTAAATTTATGCTCTAAAATGTACAAGTATATGAAAAGAATAACAGTTGTGCAATTTCCTTATAAGAATTTTATAGAATTAGAAGATAACAGTGTCCAGTTGAAACAAGACTTAGAAAAATATCTCTATCAATTAAGAATAAAGGCTTCTGTTATAGTTGTGGAAATGGTAAGATGTTTTATTAGCTCTTCTCATGGTAACGACACACGTTTTGGGGATAAAATCCTTGCAGGAACCACAAACGACGAATGAGAAATCAGAATGGTGCAATAGGAATCATAAGAGTCCCTGATACACATACAATGTAGGAAAAGCTTTTTCACATACTTCTGAGTAATTTTGTAATTTTTATTGAAATATTTGTAGAATGATCAAGATATATCAGCATATGTTGCCAACAGAACTCTTCAGATGGAACAAAGATTAGAATTAATAAAAAATTTGAAACCTAAAGATTCTGCAGTAAGTCCAATTGAAAAAACCTGAAGCATTGCATCATGGACAAGTAATATGAATTATTTTTTTTTGCTGCTCTTGATTAAGCTGTAAACGATAAGGTATACCATGCTGTGTCGGATGAAGGAAATTTTGGCAGGATAGCAGCATTATCTCAATATTTGAGATTGTTCAGTGATCTCTAAAATGCACAGCCTGTGCAACATACTGCCAGTTCTTATTGCTCTATCAGAAAAACTTGACATGTCTGGGCTTGCCTCCTGCTTCATTGACAGGAGAATCTGACAAACCAAAGAAACCATCTTGATTTAGAGCTCTTAGCAAAGAAAGCATATATTTTCTTGCTCTCAAATAATGAAAAAGAATGACACAAATTACACTTTACTACACTTATATAGAGAAAAGAGCTAATTTTTTCGTTCAAAAAAGGCATCCATCTTTTAATTCAATCTGTATATAGTCATGTATATCATATAATTACAGAGAGATGTGCAAATGCTACTTGATAAGTCACGCAGTCAACGTGTTATCAATACTGTCAACCTAAACTTGCCTACAGAAGACATTGCATTAGCAGGTAGAAAATCTGCTGTTGATGTTCCATCTAGAGAGAGAATTCAATATACCCATAGTAATATTAATCAGATAAAACGTGAAATTAAACCTAAGAATGGCACAAAACCGTAAGTATTGACAAAACAAACCTGACTAAACATTGAATAAGGAAAGATTCAATGATCAACCTTGTTGTCTGAAAGGCGATTGAGGTGATGTAGGCAGAAATATTTGCAGAAATAACTTATTCATCATAAAAAAAAAGTGTATCATTCAGCTCTACCATTATTATGGCTTTCGCAACACTCTTTCTGTCAAGGGTTCCCATTGGTTGTATCAGCTTACAATTCAATTAAATCTCTGCATTCTGTGATATAAGAACAGTGACTCTTGTAGTCAAGGTATAAGATTAAGCTCGCAATACCTTGACCATTGTGAAGATATTTTAACTACCTGATGTCTAAACCCACCAAATGCTTATTCCATTATCATTCTTGACTTGACTAAAATAAGACTTTTACTGGGGCTGTGAATAAATATTACAGATTCTGCAGAACAATTTCAAATAGAAACTATGCACAAATGTTGTAAATAGGGCTTTACTATTTTTGAAAGTTGGGTAACATGAAAATTGTGTATTTTCAGAGATGAAATGGATGTACGTAAGATGCATACAGCTATAGAATTAAATAAACATATTCAATCACTATCTTCAACGGCTCAATTACTCATAGTTAATATGCCACAATTTCCTACTAAAACAGAAAATGTTGAGAATTGTATCCTTTAACATTTGAAAAAAACCTTGACCTTCAATAGTAATAGGTCATTTAAAATTCTTTGCATTTTGCAAATTCTCTTTTTGATATGCATCAGATGTATATAGTTTCGGGGCAGCTTTATTTATTTTCATAGAATCAGAGTTAAAATTTGTTTGCATACGAAATATAGTGTCCAGCTAGCTAGCAGATTGGCATGAAAGCACTTTTCTGTGGTTGTAAGGCATACAGAAAATTTATATTTGATTTTCAGAAATGTTTTGTTATTTATTTTGTATCACGCTTTCCTTAATACTAACTCTAGATATGACATTTTTAGAATTGCTAGTTGAAGGTATAGATAGAGTATTGTTAGTTCGTGGAAGTGGACAAGAAGTTATCACAATTTACTCATAATTTTTATCATTATTCATCAGTTTGTTACAAGTTTTAAATTTTTATTTTCCATGTTTTTAAATGTTCATAAATTATTTGTCAGACTATTCTAATAATGGATGGAAAATAAATGCTAAAATCTGTAGTACTTTAGTAATTTAATTATTTTTCTTTGTTTATTTTTAATAAATATATTGAATAAAACATGTTTGAGCATTTGAGATCTAGTCTTTTTGACCTTAAGCCTATCTGCAACCAGGCCTCACCTGCCCCAAGTTTCATTATAATTATATAACAGAAAAGAACATTGGAAATGATTCAATGAATTGGTGATGTCAATTGTAGAATCTAAGACAAATGATATTGATCAGTGAAGTTACAGCAATACAGGCCTATGAAGAATTAAGCTGATAATTCCATTCTGTGGAAAACTAGAATTATTGAGCTTTAGCAACTCGTAATATTGATATAAGTGCCAGAAAGGGGTCAAGTTACAGCTTGACCAGTAAATAAAAATGTTCAGAAACTCTGTTTGTTGACATTATATAATGACATAACATGACCTATATTTTTAACCAATCAAATGAAGCCAGATTTCCTTCACGATCCGGTAGCTACGTCATTTGCTCTTTGAACTTGATTTGTCAAATCGTTGATGCAAATGAGTTGAAAGTGTTGTTGGAAATAATGTGTAATTTAGATTGAGACATGTTGAGATGTAATGGCGATGGTGAAATGCTAAATAATTGTTTATTAGATGGATTTTGATCTCTAACGGGTTTTTACCAAACGAGCATACTCTGGCTTTGCGCATGTGTCAAAGTTCTACAAAGCAAGTACGACGAAAGTGGAATTTTTATCTGTAAATAATCTGTGACAGAGTTCACCAAATTCATCAAATTTCATCATTTTCAGGATATCGTACACGTCGGCATTATTTGATTCATTTCATTTTTAGTTGATACTTCTGGATATATCACTACAACGTTTAGTGTGTTTTTGATTAGTTAATTTTATCAGAAATTGAGAAGAAAGTTTGTTTACATTTTGCATTTTCGTTAGTTGAGGATTTCATTTTTCGCAAAGCGTGTTAATTGTTTTATTATTGATGTCAAAAGCGGCGTAATCAATAAACTAACTAGGCGTATATATTCAACTGCATCAAAGATTCAACCTGAAATCATATTCAGCCAATATGGATATAGGTGGAGAAATGGGGGACATGCCCATAACATTAATAGTGAAGGCACCAAATCAAAGAATAGCTGATCAGAATGTGGAGTGTACTTTAGGTTGGACTATCAGAAAATTAAAGGAACATCTACAACATGTTTATCCTAATAAACCGGTAAATATTTTAGTGATGTGCTTATTGATTGAGAACCTACTCATGATTTAAACCTGCTTTATTGATTGTATGAGCTATGTTCCGAATTGATTCATTCAAAAGAAAGAATGTCGTAATTGTTAGGTTACTTTCCTTACTTTAGTGATTTGATCTAGATAGGGACCTTTTAAAAACAACGCGATAAGGAATTCTGTTGCTTCTATCAGTATAAAATTATTATGACAGGATAATAGAAGCTTATATAAAGTAAGTTCTGATAAGGTCATTTTGATAAAGTTATTGTTAACCTGGAGACCTATTGATCATTATCAGAAATTGTCATTATTTCATGTCTGTCCTCTAGTTTACTAGTTGATTTAGTGGTTAATAGATTGCTTTGTATTTTTCAGCAACACAATCAACAAAAGTTGATATATTCTGGTAAATTATTAGAAGATAATCTTACTTTAAAGCAAGTTCTACGTCAGGTAATCATAATGTAAAATCATAATGTAAAATCATTATGAAAAATATTAATACAATCTCGCAATCTGTTTAATTATTCATAGAGAAAAAATTAAAACAGAACTTGAATCATTTTGTTACTCATGTTTTTTCGTGCGATCGTCAGACAACTGACCTATTTTCAATCTGACAAGTTCAGAATATTTGTTGCAAGAAATTATTGATTAAAATGATTAAGAATAACTGTCAGCTGCTGACTGAAATAAGAAAAACCAGTCAACCACCACTTCAAAGCAAATTACATGAAGAAACTAACTGGTTCTCCTGTTTATTTGTCCATGAGACTGTACTCCCATTATTGCTATAGGCTACATTTTTTATTTTGTGTTATTTTCTAGGATGACGATAATATTCACCACACAGTACATTTAGTTTGTTCAGCATTACATGATACAATTATAGAGGATACACAGGTATATATATTCCTGCTTTCTAGTTACTGAAATGATAGGAAAGTGGTACCGTAGGCCTTACTTTGAATTCAAAATAAATCATTGGAAATTAAAGCTAGATTGTTGATCAATACTCATGTATTCAACTACTAAGAAATTAAAGGTCTAGTCATAATTTCAGTTAGAACTTTTTGTATTGATAAAGACTTTTTATGATAATTAAATTGGCTTTGTACAGTTTGCAAATTATACAACTTAATACATATTGCAGACATATTTTTGTAATGTCAAGATAGACTGGGTTAAAGTTTACATTAGGTCATATTTGAGTGCCATTTATTCCTAATATAAGCTTAATTCTTTAATTTACTATCACCACAGAATGTAGATAAATCTTCGCCTTCCCCTTCACCAAGATCAGTTCCATCTTCAACCAACTCTACATCATCTACTGATGGATTACGTCATAGAGGAACACCACTTCCACAACCTGATTATGGGTAAGTCTTCACTTCATGCCCTACTTGATGATTCCTCAATTTTTATTATATATGTAGGTAGTAATTGTGTCTTATACAATAAAATGTAAAATGTTGTTGATACAGAACAGGAAAGGGAAAGAGGTATATTTTTTTTGCCTGGACAAATGCTTTAAAGCATATATTTTTGTTTATTGCCTGTTAATTAGAACATTTTTTGGTTCTTATTTATCTCTGATATTATTGTTCACTTTACTTGTAGGTCTCAACAACAAATGCCAAATGCCTATCATAACTATATGCAACAAATGTTCGGTCAAATGCCCCAAATGTATGGAGCCATGCCACAGATGTATGGAGCTATGCCACCAATGTATAGTGCTATGCCTGCAGGCTACTCTCAGGAACAATATAATATGATGATGCAACAAATGTATTCACAATATATGAATCAGTACATGCAATAGTAAGTATCCTGATATATAACTTGAGTGGTTAATAGGTCATTATGTCATATATGTTTCTATGGTTGTTTCAAAAACATATTATAAATTTAAGTCAAAGTTTTTGCTCACCATGATATCTGTGGGATTCTTTATTTAAAGAAATTTGAAATAGCTACATGAAAGACCTGAATCTTATTTTTTTTATGCACCCCACCCTGCCTTTCTATGAAGGTATAAGGTTGGCATGCTGGAATTGAATTTGTGTAACTCTCTGTAGACACTCTTTTAAATTTGTGAAAATTGTGTATATACCGTCTTAGTCTCATAGTACTGGTGGCAATGGTGTCAATTGTTTATGTTATATTTTAGCTATAACAGTACTATGGGAGTAACTCCACCTCCTTCCCCTGCCACACCAGTAGTTCCAGAGGAAGCTGTCAATAGAAATAATGGTGGTAATGATAGACCAGCTAACCAGAATATACGTATGAATGCGCAGGGCGGTGTAGTTGAAGATGATGATGAAAATGAACAGAGAGATTGGTTGGATTGTATATATATGTTGTTCCGTGTCATGGTGTTATTTAGCATAGTCTACTTTTATTCTACTGTGACCAGATCTATAGCTGTCTTCCTAGCTTTCTTGTTGATATATGTGTAAGTATGTCAGAGCATAATTTTGTTAAATGTAATAAAGCAAACATGGATCAGAGCAACTCCTATAAAATATGACCTGGCCCTGTGACATTGTGGTTAGAGCCAGACTAAAAAGGTCACATCAGTCAAAATTGGAAAACCTTTTGGTATCAATACAAAGATAACCATTAATGAATTAATCAGAACATATCTTGATATTTGGCAATGTCCCTGTGCCTCACCTTGTACCACCATACTTTCGATGGGTTGGCTCAACTTGCAGAGTAATATGAAAAAGAGACTGTAGTGTAGTACTTGGCGTGCCCCTGGTACACCTAAAAAGGCATAAATACCTTTTTTCTCTTAAAGGTAACTTAATTGGGTGTTAATTTTCTTTAATTTCAGATTACAAAAAGGCTGGTTGTTAATACGTAGAAGAGAGAGAGAAAATGCAGCAGCTGAACCACCTGCACCAGAAGCTGTACCAGAACCTACTGGAGCTAATGATAATAACACTGAACAGTCTACTGAAAGTCAGACAGCACAAGAAAATCAGGTAGGTTTACAATCATTTCTTCTCATATAGCCGTTTCTCAAATTTTCTTTTGGAACTTTGAATTTTAGCTTAATTTGAACTGCAAATTATTTTCATAAATGAGTTGTAGTACATGCATTATACATATTGTAACTGTTTATAATTTTTTTTTAAGGAAAATCGAACTGCTACAGATGAAAATACAGAAACAAACACAACAGAAACACCTGTACAACCACCAGCACCTACTGCACCTAGTGTTATAGCTACAGCTTGGTGTTTCTTTTCTACATTCTTCTCTTCTTTAATACCAGAACAACCTGCTGCTGTCAATCAGAATTAATACTTTCCCAAGTTTCACAGAAAATGCCTTGTTCAAGTATGGTTCTGTTTTCCAATTAGAACTGTCCACTGCTCTTGAAACAGTGCACGTTATTTTTATAAACATGGTGTGAGTTATTCTTTTCAAAACATGATCATCCATTTCCTGCATGATAATTTCTTAATTTAAATTGAAGGAACATGCTTATGTGTTCACATCTTCACAATATCAAGCTACTACAACTTTGTCTTATACATTGACTGCAATATCCACCTTACATGTATCACAGAACCTATGCCAGCAAATGCAGCCAATCAGAGACCTTGACAGAAAGTATGTGAATACAAACCCATAATGAGAAAGCCTCTGAATAGCGGCTATTGCAGTCATGGTTTAAGCATGTAGTTCTTTAGAGCTTGACATTGTGAAGATGAGATGTTTCCTGTGTCACCTGAAAAGAAAAATCTTCGAATATATCCATTAAATCACTATCTTATTGTGTTCACAATAAACAATGGAGGTTAAGACAGTATTATTATTCTGAATGATGTTAACTGGTGGTGGTTGAGTGGGGAGCTTTGAACAGATTCTGTCTGTTCTAATTCTGCCCCCAATTGTACGGTATGAAAATCTGCGATTTATTTATTTCTCTGCCATTTTGAATTCTGTTTAACCAAACGCATAGAACGCTTTTCGAACTCTTTTTCCAACTTGTTTTATTGAACGTTCTGTTGATTCCATAAATCCAGAAAGTGCAGATTTCAGCAATTGAGCAGCCCTATTGACAGTGTAAAGTGATGAATCGAGATAAATATATAATTTAAAGGTGTATTTTATATTAATTGTGATATGTATAGTAATTATGTAAATTTGTATATAGTCTTCCAAATTAATGGCTAATTAGCAATTAACAAATTAATATTCAATTCTATGAATCCTTTGTTTGTTAAAGTTTATTTTCTTGTTTTGAAATCCTTAATTTCTCTCCTGCCATCTGTTGTAGTCCTAGCCATTATATTCTATTTTTCATAACAAGTTTAACCTAATATTGCTGACTACAAAATTAATGTAACAGCTGTTCATATTATTTCTATGTCACTAACTTTAATTTCTAGACATCAGTATAATTTACAAGACTTAACACATATTAAAACTGTTACTTGCTACATTGATTCTGATGATATTCAAACAAATCTACTTAAAAGTCAGTAGGATGTAAAACTCTGAATTCCTTTTATTCCAGAGCATATCATGTGATCATAATCAAAAATGTACCCTAACATTATTCATTATTGATTTGTGAAATGGAGATCTTATCATATTAATTTTCCCTTTTATGATTAAATTTGAGCTATGAACAATTTAAATGAAATAATCTTGCCTAAGTCCCAGATATATTTGATTTCTATGTACTTATCTTATTTTCTTTTATTTATGATTTACAATTTTTTAATACTTTTCTGTCCAAATTTATGTGAAGAGATCTTCTTTAAAGGAAATGTCAAGCTTATCACTACATTTTAACTCTTATTTTGTTTCATATGGTTTGCAGAAATCGTTGAAACTTCAGCAAAACTGTATTTGTGGTGTCATTGCTTAAAAATAAAACTTTTTCATGGTGTATTTTCATTAATATTGAAATAACAGAAAGGATATGAGTGACTAGTGGTTTGTTATATATTCAAGTGATTTTAATATTGTCCTGTCTCCCCCTTTACTTTAACTATTTCTTTTATCTCGGACTTTAGTTTATAACCTATTATTTTTTAGTCCAATTTTGTGTTCCTGTACCATTACTTACTTTTTGTAGATCTGTATTCTCTTTGCTAATTTGAGACATTAAATGGCAAGTTTTTGGATCAAGTCCTTTATGTTTCTGTAAATCCATTGTACCAATGTAAAATAGTCCCATTATGTTTTAAGATCTTAATCACATACTGGTATTAAGGGTTTGATAAAACTTTTGTAAAGCTTTTGACCTTTCAAAGTATTTCAACAAGAAAGAAATTTGAAAGTGAATTCTTACCAGTGATATTGTAATAATAATGATTTATTATAAGAGGGAATCCATGTAATGTTTCATAGTGCAATAAATTGCTATAATTACTATCATTAAGATAACATTGTTTTTGTTATAGCTAAGAATAACGGGTTTTTCTGATTGAATGTGAAATATTGCCTTAGAGGGGCAAAATGCTATACTGTATGATAATCAAAGGACTAAAAATTTGGTAATAAGTTCTTTTGCAATTCAGGTTAAAAGATTTTTGTTGAATCATTCGACATGAAACATAAAAGACTGTTGTCCTAGCCTGGATATTGTTCATATTGTTTTTGGAATAGAAACCTTCTGTTATAAAAAAAAAATGGTTGTATATTAATGATTTATTTAGTAAGCTTTGTTTGATAAATCAGATTCCGTAAGGATTTGGAAGTATGGATTTGATCAAACTCTGCTCATTCTGGGACAGTAAAAAATTATACAAAAAGTTCCAAATTGAATGATATTTCTAGACAAAATATTTTATTTATAATATATATCTGAAGTATTGAAAAAACTACTGGCCATTCTATACTTGAACATACAATCATTTATACAGAATTATTTATTATTCAAACTTGGTAAGGTTCCTGATTTTTTAGAGCTCTCAGCAGGAGTTGCTGGTTGTGGAGATTCAGGCTTTGGTTCATTTAAAGCTTTTGAAGATGTAGATGACTTCTCTGAAGAGGAAGGCAGGGTTGAAGGTGGTGGTGGTGCATCTTCTGGAAGTCTACATTTTTTCTTGAACCAGTTATCATACACCAGATTATGAATTGGTACCCTTTCTTGGCCCTTTATCATCATTTTTAGCATTAATATTCTACATTCTTCAGAGACTTCAGGTTTAGCTGGAAATATTATTCTTGATTGGGTTTGTTTTAATAATTTCTTATGATCGGTATCATCAAATGGTAGCCTACCATATACCTGGAATATATAGTATGTTAATGCTCAGAACATCTTCTCCGGCTATATTATGGGCCTATTCTCTGCAAACAGTTTGGATAATTCTCATTATTAACATTTACTACATGACTTACTACAAACATCACAATATTAAACTCTGCCAAATGATTTACTACAAACATCACCTTATTAACTTGCCAAATGATTTACTACAAACATCACAACATTAAGATTTTCTACAAATGCCACATTATGAGCTTCTAGAAATTGTTCAATCAAATATCACAGCGGTAACTTGTATTAAATGATTTACTACATGCATCACATCATAAGCTACTAAAAGATTTACTACAAACATCACAACATTACTTCTGTCAAATCATAATTAACAAAATATTATTTCTGCCAAATGATTTACTACAAACATCACAGCATCCACGCCTGTGAAATGATTTACTACAAACATCACAAAATCAACATCTGTGATATGATTACTACATACATTACCGCATTAACATCACAACATCAATATTTGCTAAATGATTTACTACAAACATCATTACATTAATATTAACATCAAATTCATTTCATTTTATAATCTGTTCACTATAAGTCTCTCATTGAGCTTTATTTCTGATTTCTTCCCGTGGACGAGGGATGAGTTTCCTAAACATACATGTAGTTAACGATCAAGGTACTTACCATTGTGTATAATACGACACCCATGCTCCATATTTCAGCTAGAAATGGGTTGTATGGAATACCTTTCAGGATTTCTGGAGGAGCATAGGCATAGCTTCCACAATATGTTTCACTGTAAATTATCTCACCCATTTTACCACGTAAATTTCTTCTTGCAAAACCAAAATCTGTGACCCTCAATTTATTTGAATTGTCAACCAGCAGATTTTCACATTTCAAGTCCCTGTGTACGATACCCCTGTTATGCATATACAAAATCCCATCATGAAGACTTCGAAACCAAAGTCCGGCTTGATCTTCCGGTATTTGTTTCATGTTCCTTATAGCGTCGAGAAGATCACCTCGTTCACAGCACTCCATTACAAGAAAAAATCGACTAGTTGTTTCGATAACTTGAAAAAATGAAACTAAACTCGGATGCTGTAATGTTCTGACAATTTCTATTTCTCTTGGTAAAAATTTGGTCAAATAATCATCAGGAGCCTTCTTTTTAGAAATAATTTTAATAGCAACTTTATGTTTTCTGTTGATATCATAAGCTGCTTTTACTGTGGCATAAGATCCTTGACCAAGAGTTTTCCCAACAACAAATCCTTGTGATTCTAAAATTTGATAACGACGATTAGCACGACTTGCGAACTGCGGAATTCCATCGGAAGTGGAATCAACTTTCACTGGTTGACTTATTTCTGTTTTGTTTTCTCTTGTTGCTTCTTTATCTGGAGTCACCAGTGGAGGAAGTTTAACCCCATGGGTATCCTCATCATTTGACATTCCGTGATTGATTCCATTACTACATCATATCACCATTATCTGGCGTTTGGAAACGATTCTGATATTACATGTTATTGTGACGTTGTGATAATAGTTTGACGTTACACAGAAAGATAAGCATCTTAACTTTGAACAGACTAAAAAAATGTATCTTAAAATGGGGATCATACAAAATCCTTTAATTCTTGATACAGAGGAACCTTCGATTGACGATAATAAACCCAACATAGAAACAGACACCAAGTTCGCCAAAAATTAACTGAAAATGAAGATTGCCAATGGCACTTATTGTGTCCATTTAATATAATTGATGGCGAGTTTGGTTTCGATTTTCAATCTGAAAAGTGGTAGGTAATCATCTTCACAGTGTCAAACTATTACGAACTTAGTCGACTGCAATATCCATTATTCTTGTATCACGAATAATAGCGAATTGATTGGTTTGTACGCCAGCGAATACAGCCAATGGGAGTTATCAACAGAAAGACTGTAAATATGGTTATAGTCGACAGCTCTAATTTGACTGTATTCATTTCTGTGGCTATTGCAGTCAAGGTATAAGACGAAGTTCGTAATAGTTTAACACTGTGAAGATCATGATAGGTAGTAAGAGTAGTTGAATCAGTTAGATTCTCGGTTATCTCAATCGCAATAGACAAAAAACTAGGTTTGCTAAAATTGTATTACATAAATTACAATCATCATTTTAAAATGGGCACCACTATAGAAAAAAACGATGATTCGACATGTAATTTTACGTAGCCTAGGATACAAAAATCATGAGCGGTGTGATTGTCTTTAAAAATGAAATTTAAAAGTTAAAAAACACAGACTAAAATGAAGGACAAACATAAATACTAGATTCAGGTGACTAACGATAATGCAAAATCATCTAAAGCTATAAAATTCTTGAGAAATGTTGGAATTGGTAGAAAATTAATACTGTTGATGATGGACGTATCGTCTGTTCCAATATTCAAACCTACACGTACAGCTTGGCGACTTAGTTCTAATAAACTAAATGGATTTTTTGACCGATGTCGTAGCCAGGGTATGAGTTCTGCGCGACCTCTACCGGTATCTATATCTGGTGCTGCCAGTCTTAAAAAGGATCTAGAGAAGGCGGGAATACGACGTGAGCATTGATCAACCTCTTCTGGCCAGACTTGATATCCGGACATCACCATTAACTTTGTGACAAAAGGCTCGCATCTGGAAAACGCCTCCACTAAAAAACTTCTGCTAAATTTTCCCTTCCTTTCGACCACAGCTCCATGAAAAAGTAACAAAGCGGCTACACAGCTATTGTCCATATTAATACAAGCTGTAAACGGTGTGGATTGTTTATCACCTTGACTTAGTTGGCAACCAGCATCTATTAACATCCGTAGTATATTGTCCAAACTTTGGTATGTGTTTCTTGGGGCGATTTTATAGTAAAATATTGCACAAATAAACGGGGACATACTGTTTTTAGTTATGATATTCACTTCAGCACCATGTTCGAGTAACAATTTCACAACAGTTTCATTTCCAACTCTTGTGGCCTCATGTAATGACGTCCAATTGGAATCATTTTGTATATTAATGTCACATCCGGAATGAACAAGTTGAAGTATGACTGGTTCCAGATTTAAATGAACAGCGCGATGCAAGGCAGTGTTACCATGGATATCAGAGGAATTTAATTCACAATTCAATCTTAATAAATATAAAGCTACATCTTCACGTCTGGCGTTACATGCTATCATTAATGGCGTCTGTCTCTTCTTGTCTGTTTTGTTGACATCCCAACCGGATTCTACGAGAAGACAAACAGACGACAAATAACCATATTCTGCTGACCAATGTAAAGCAGTTCTACCTTGTTCATCTGTAGAGTCAACTTGACTTCCGTCAGAAATCAAACTCCTAATTTTATCGTCTTTTCCAAATTTTGCTGCTTCGAAGAGCAAATAATCGTTATCTGGAAATCGTGGCATCGTGGAACAACAAAAGAATTAAAAAATTAAAAGGAATTCACGTTAAGAAGAACTCTGCTTGGAGCTAACACAACAATTTATCCATAAAACTGGATTTACAATGACTAGAAGTAGTAGTCCAATACTAATGGCGACCAGATACCATCAAAAGCCCGGGTGTTAAAATCCTTTAATACAGCGTATACCTCATTGAGAAAGGTGTCCTTTATCTCACCCTTTAACAAGACTGTGTCTTTCATCTGTCATCTAATTTCTCACTTCCCTTTCCGTCATCCAATTTCTCATCCAGATGAATAACACATAATGACTTTACGACATGAACAAGGCACACACCACGACACCATTCAAGTTGCGTTTTATCATTGAACACTTTGCTTCATAGGATATCCGTCTATGATTCTGTCCAATGTCCAGCTCTCTAAATGTCTCACAATGTCTTCGGTGGTCAGATTCGTATATAAGATCGTCAACAAGATATCCTAAAGAAGATTTATCTATCTTGTTTACCAACACTCACACTTTGAATTGGTCCAAGTTTAAAATTTGTTTGAATTTGTTCAATAAATGATATAACTGATAAATATTATCTTAGCATTGGGTACTCTGTGTGTTAACAAAACAAATACCACAGTTTAAAACGCAATCGTGCCGAATTTTGACCACTGAGCATCAACGTGTAGTTAAAAGCCGACAATTTACAAATTCTCTTTCCTGAAGCAAATATTGCGGCATTCAAAATACTAGCATTACCGATAAACAGCGTTTGACTTGACCGTCTCAATCATGTCTTAAAGATGAAGGCAGGTGTTTAAGAATTGGTTTGCGTTGGTTTGAGTTGTTGATAATGGGGCGTTGAACAAAGGATGTTAGCTAATAGAATCACCTCTTCATCTCTCCTATTTAACTAATCAGATGTGGTTACAGACACATTAGATACATAATCTTGTATCATGGTCAACATTAACAGGTTAAAGGTCAATGATAATCCGTCTCAGCTGTTGTTATCTGAAAAGATAAAGATAATACATGTACATTATTTGTCTGTAGAAAAGTGATAGTGATGATATGACTATTTTGATTTAAACAGTCCGATACTTTGCTTCAACGTTAGCGTCAAAGAATATTTCAAAGCTATTTTCAATTAAGTTCAAGGCATCAAAAAGGTGACTGAAAGATCTTTTCTCGGTTTTTTGTTCTTGATTTGAACAGTAAAACCAAATTGCCCTGTCGTTGTCCTCAGCCTTCAAATGCAAACCTTAAAAATCTCCCTTCAAATTTACCAACTAAAAATAATAAAGCGTCACGTCAGTTCAAATAATAAATCTTATGGCAAAATCGATTGCAATTTATATTTCGATATTCAGACCCTTAATTACAAGACGATACTAAACAGGTGTTCCGGGGTCAAATAGAATGAACCTATCATCAATCATCAGGATTGTTTGAACTTTATGGTTTAAAACTGCAATGCGCAAAATGAAATCAGATATAAAGATCAAACCGAAGTTCTTTGTTGTTATGACGTCATAAAATCATATGCTTCCAGGAAAAGAAAGAAGAAGAAATATGTGGCACCGAGACAGGATCTGGAAATGTTCCAAATTCAAACAAAGGATATCAGTATTCATGATATTTAGACACTATTAGAATCCCGGAATGTAAGTTTATCAGAATTTCAAATCAAACCTTTACTCTAAAGACTCCTCATATTTATTGATATTGATGCCAAACAAATGCCAACATGCTGATATCGAATATCTGTATTGTTATTAAGGAGACTAATCAAATTATTATTGATTAGGGATAATTGATAATTGAATTATCTTTAATTACTACGTATTCAGAGCCAGTTCTGTCACAAATTAAACCTATAGACTAGAAAACAGTGGCGTATTGGGGGTGGGGGTGGGGGGGGGGGGGGAATGGTGCCTCGGATAATAAAAATATATTTATTATACTTCACTTGCAAAATAGCGTCAGATGTATTCCTAGTGCCCTTCAAAATCCGCAAAGGGGCGCTCGGGCACTCGGATACCCACCCCTCCCCCTGTCAATGAAACCCTCGCTACTCCACTGCTGAAAAAAAATCTTTCGATAAGGCACTCTTCGATCAAATCACGTTTGGTAAGAACTTTAGTATAGAAACGTAATTACATTATACTTGGCATGAATAAAGAGAAAACGGTTTATCGGAAATCCACATGACGCTCGTACAATGTTCAAAAGAGAAGCATGCTTTCGAATCTTGTATGTATGACTGAGCTTGAACGTTTTGATATAATTCTATATCGTTGCCTACCTTATGTAGTCTCCACATATACAACTGATAATGTTAGAATTTCTATTCCAAATTTATTAATCAATAGGTCCCTTAGCCAAACTGGTGAGTTTATAAATAGGCTATATTATACTGAAAGTCTCGTGAATATTGGAACCAAGTTACACGAACGATTACTCACGCGCTAACAAACTCTCTCCCAGCTATATCTAAAACATCTTCTTTATGTATAAGTTCCTATATACCTGATAGATAACGGCACGTGCCAGGCAGACAAATATATACAGGTCTTTACGAATGACCTTTAACCCCGACCTTCTGCAAACTTACTTTTTTAAATTCATTATTTCTAAAATTCAACAATTTAGTTAATGTACCACTTAAATAAGCATCGAAAAATAGTTGAACGATGGTATTTTTTGTTAAAAACTAAAAGAATACTTACCTGTAATTTAACCTTGTTTCCGCACATACACGTGCAAACTAAACGATGACATCATTTGCACTCATAACGTATACCATAATATCTAAAAGAAAATGGTTTCAAATAAAGTGTTTGGTTCCTAAATGAAAACAAATATGCCTACTTAATCAAAACAAATGCCTTCTATTCTAAATCAAAAGGAACATGACGAACGTTTTATACAAATAGATGTTCACACGAAACAATGTCATTAATGCAAAGTCATTTCATAGTCAAATTAAATTAGTAAAGGATCATTAGTGTCTATGTTTAATTACAATTAAATTGTTCCCGATGACAATTTTTATTTCTCTGTGAATCATCCACTAAATAGTAATAATTAAACCTCCCGATAAACATGGCGTGGGCTTAGTGAACATAGTCCAGTTTACGCGTGCATTTCAAGGTTAAAACGTTATGCTCCTTGGAATTACTTTCAATATAATAGCAATACTTTGAAAACTGTAAGTGGTACTGAATCACGAACATCATAATTACAGGCAGAACAAATACATCTAAGGCTTTTCGTAGAAAACTCCCAAATCCAACAGACACATATCAAGGTTAGTTCTAAGTGAAAAATCGAGAAGTCGACTCATTTACGATCTCATCAATGACAATCAACCTTATCCGATCACATTACTTTCAGGCGGCCTACCGTGTAGGTTCTGCTAGCGATTCAGCTGTACGGAAACTGCCGCAGATTGTCGAATGCATCACTTTTCACTAGAGTCCATGTCGTAGGTTTAGAACACGACTAAGTTCTAGCTGTTATTACCATGGAACATGAAACCAGGAAAAATCGGTAACAAATTCTAATATATTACAGAGCAATTAAGGCCAACACTCAATATCGAACGTAATCCACAAATAGTACGCAAGTTACTTTTTCTACAAGAAATTTCTATTAATATAATAGGTCCATATTATTGATTTCGCTCAATGATTAAATGAAACGAGCTTTTGATTAAATGCAAACTACCGAAAACTGGTGGAAATTTGTCCAGTGAATGTTTAGTAGTTTTAAATCTTCTCTGAATAGAGAGCAAGGGTAACTTTTCTGGATGGATCCCAACTTTTTGGATAGTTTTTATACTGGTGTTAACAGAAAGGATTAGCATTAATCATCTTTGTTCATTCAAGATGTTACAGAACAGACCATCTGTTACGTAGCCTAAGATTGAAAGGAAACGAGGGATTCATTTCAAAGGTTTCAATCAGAAGGTCAAAACGACCTTGAAATCTGAGAATGTCCTTGAAAGTTTTACAGAATTGATACTTTTAAATCTGTACATAGTTAATCATGATAAGGTGCTATATGACGCAGAAAAGGTCAAGTTTTGTAAAGTTTAACCATATGGTCACCATGTTAGGTTTCAATGCACACCCAAACATGACCATCATTATGTAACTGTGGCACCAAAACATTGATAACGATTTGAATTTCTAAAGGCGTTAGAACAAATTATATAGGCCTATTAATTCATCACGACATCTAGTCCTTGACACAACAGATCGGTCATTTAGGCTACCTCATGAGAATCATTTTAGTTATTTACCCTATTCTCCATGAATTTTATTTCCATGAATCTCCTGCGGTCTGGAAAGATGTCGACCGAATCATGTAGCCTTGGTGGATGTCTACTTAACACTCACAGGCCCCAGTTTTTGGAACCGTTAACAATCAAAAATAATCATCAGAGTTGTTAAGACTCATCAAGGGAAAGCGAACATTAACATCATTTTATAGGACACGTGGTATAAACGACGATGCATTGAATAAAATAAATGACTTCCCGAAATAGGAGTATTTTGACAACATAGCTGCAATCTTTGCCTTCGCCATTTACAAATTGTTACAATCCTTGCATTCAAACGTTGGATAAAACATCTATGATATTCTTAAGGAAATTTCTTAACTCACCTACAGGCACCTCGTTACGCGTTTGCATTAAAACTTCATGTAATCTAGAGGTTAAAATTTTTTCCAAAGGATAAAACCTTTGTTTTTTTAATACAGTCCTTTTCGTCTATTGATTTTTGAACGTATAAGGCAATCTCAAAATAACAAAATTTATATGCGTGAAAAAAGACTAGCCTACTAAATCATATTATATATAGTACATATTATATTTATTTGAGTGTTTCAACTTTCGATCGTCTAGAGAGGGCACACCTCTTACATTCAACGTCAGTCAATTGTTCTACACGTCGTTATAAATTTCGGGTTATTTTGAATCGCCCCGTTCGTCTGCTATATCATTATTGATTACGGAAGACAAAGTAACTTTTGTCAAACAAAGACGAGCAGTGTACAAAGATGAGCGAATTGTTAATCTAAATTAATGCTTTGGTATAAAAAAAAGGATTCTACAAACCTTATATGCGAGACCCTTACAAAACTTTTGCTTGTCTCTTTTCAAATCGATCATTTTTCCCCATGTGAAATATTATGCCAAAAAGTGACAGCTGATTTTTGTTTATCAACAAATGGGAGATAACCCTGCATTTTTTTCTGCCCACTTCCTGTTTATGACGTCAGATCCCATCATTGATTACTCAAAATGTTGTGATTGTGAAATGAAATAGATTTCTATTAGCTTTCGAACCTAAGTCACGAATTCGCGATTAAAATTACAAATATCCCCTGAATACATTTTATATAAGGTTTAATTGTGTACAAAGGGTTTTAAAATGGATGGTAAGTTTCAGAAAGACACGAATTTTAATATCTTTTTTGGGGGTCTACTTTCACTTTTCATTTTTTTTATTACAGTATTCTATTCTTCAATGACTTTTATATCGTGGATCTAACAAATTAATACCTTTTTAAGATGTAAACAAGACAAAAAGGCCTTAGTAGAAGTTGAAGATAATCTCTTGTCATTGGTGGATGGCACTTGCCGCTATCCAGACTTCCATTTGTTGTTTAATTTGAATATTTCCTGTCATATTTAATGTATTCGATTGTTGGCATTGTACTAATGAAATAGAAATAGTGTGTAAAAGACAGATTAGTAAATTAATAAATGAAATGATAGTATCTAACTATATGTTAACTAAGTTATAATTACACTTCATTCAGTAGAGACATGTCATACTTGTTTTGATTATTGTTTCCCCACTAATTAAGCAAGCCACAACTTATAATTCTTACTGATCATGCCATGGTATAGAGCTTTATAGGCCTATTCTATGATATGCTATCTATTCAATCATATTCATCATCATTATGAATGTCACCTATCTGGAACAAGTTAGGCCTGTATCTGTATTATTTCATCCTAATCTTGATACCGGTATTACAAAATATCCATTGTGATTTGAACGTCCCCATCTCAATTATTATTAGTTCAACTTCACTAACATAAGAACAAGGATGAATACAATTTCAAACAGCAAGAATACATGTACAATCTTCTTCTCACTGATCACATTTGGTAATTATAAGCCTACATTTCATAAGGAAATAAACCTTGATATGCTTCAACTTTTTGAGAAAGGCATATCAAATCATTAAATTCTTAACTTACCTTGCATCTTAGTACCTCTACATTCCATTATGTCACTCCGAAAGAATTCATATGCAAATTTAAATCTTTCCTTTTAAAGTTGTAGCAAAAATATTTTTGCTAATCGGATGCTTCTCAGATCATCATAGGGGTGTGAATGACAATGTTTTATTAACCACGGTTTTTAAAGCTAAAAATTGACGGTGGGATATCAGTGACACATAAAGAATTCAATAATTGTCATCAAAATGAAGTCAGATTTAGTCAATTTCATTGTCAGTATTTTATTACATAAATCCTTTGTCAAGAATTTCTCCAACTCACAGTAACCCAAACTTGACCTTAGTAATTACAGGTATGATAGTTATCTTGGACCCTATAAACAATCTCTTGGTGGTTTTCTCAATCCCCAAATTGCAACTTGACCAAAATTTAAAGGGTTTCAAAGAGGTGTTCTGGCCTGATAGCTTTCATTTGCACCAATTTGATTTCTTGATCAATGTCTGTGGTGCAGGTCCTAAATTAAGACAAGATTATGACTTAATATGATTCAATATTGCAAAGATCATTTGTCTTGAATGGTAAAATTCATGGTAAAATAATGAAATAGAAGCTAAAACAGTATTTCCAGAAGACCCCTAATATAAAATTGTGATTATTTCCATACCTTAAACCAGTTAGAAAAATTAATTCACTCCTCTCAAGGTTTTTTGATTCTGTTTGGAACATATACTTATATGGCTAATATTAAGATTTTATTTTTGTTATCACATAAACACAACAAAAAAAATTCATTCTACATGATATACAATGCAGCATTTTTTTTACACACAAAGTTTATTTGATGGTCATGGTGATATATATTATCCAATCTAAAATGATAAGAATTTTTTCAGTTTCTCAGTTGATAGTGAGGTCATTGTGGTAATAAATTCTGAGATTTAAGGGTCAGTGAGAATAGACTGTAATTAGAGCTAATTTGAGGGGATTATACATGATACACTGACCCCAAAATGATGACAGACACAATTTATTTTGTCTTTTTGGAATTTGATTTTCAGGAATTTTTCGGCATTTGAGAGTCTTAATTTTCATTCAGAAAGTAATTAGATAGCCATATTTGCAAAAGTAAATATTGAGATGAATCCATACTGGGAACAATGGAAACAGTTTTTTCAAGGATTTTTTCTTTAAGAAATGATGTTTCAACTAATTATTTTTTTTTAATTTCAGATTCATTGTTTCAATTGAGGGTAAGTTTTTGACTTAAATTTTTTTTAGGTTTATAGACCTCAATATCACAATTAACCACTTGTTAATACCGGTAAATGCAGAAACAAAAATGAAACATTCAGAGATATCTTTAGTATGAAGTTTTATCAACAGCTGTTTTTTGTCTGTATTTGTAGTTTACAACCAAGCAGTTAGAAAGATTGGCATCTAAAGCTGAAAAAGATCAAAGAGTTCAACAGTCAAAAGTTAAAAAGGTGAGATTGCCATTTTGCATTTATTAAGATCTCTACTCTAATGGGTGCTATTTCCAAAGGTATGAAAAATTATGGATAAATATGAAAGATTTAAATCCTACATTTCTATTTCAGGCCTTGCAACAAAAAAATGTAGAAGGAGCTAAAATATATGCTGAAAATGCCATAAGAAAGAAAAATGAAAGTTTGAATTTTTTACGTATGGCAGCTAGAATAGATGCTGTTAGTTCTAAAGTTCAAACTGCTTTAACCATGAAAAATGTAAGTACTTTGAAATGAGTTAAATATAAAGGGGATCCTTTTCACCTGAACTTTCTTCTTCTGTGGAAGGATCTTTCAATTCAGGGCTGTGGAGATGAGATTGAAAAAAGGCTAGTCTATGATTGGTACTGGCACAATAAACTAAGGTTCTCATTGGTATAGGCTCTTAGAATATGAGATTTCCCTCATTGCAAACTGCTTATCATTGTCTGTCTTCTAAAGCCTTATCAGATGCAGAAAAATATGTATGAATGTATCATGGCTGTGACATGTATTTGTGACATTGGCCAAATTTTCTTGCAATTTTTGTTTATTTGAAGAATAAGTTGTTGACTAATAAACTTGTTTTTATTTTGTAGGTAACTAAAGATATTAGTAATGTATCTAAGGCCTTAGATAAAGCCATGTCTTCTATGGATCTTTCTAAGGTAATTGTCTTTAAGAAATATTTTCTAACATAAAGTTAGAGTTGTCTGTCCAGGTTAAGGAACAATGAATTTCTTTTGTTAGTGTCTAATTTCATGTGGTGATGGTTGTCGAAAAGCATTTTGAAGTGTAATAAGTTATTTTTGATTTTCAGGTTGAACAGATTATGTCTAAGTTTGAGAAACAGTTTGAAGATTTAGATGTTCGAACTTCGGTAAGTTTACTGATTGCACGTTAATTGTATTAGATCAGTTTATTTTAGATAAAAAAACAGTAATGCTTTGAAATGATTCTAGCTGGATTTACTAATTGAGCATTAATGACTAATTTTCAAAGCAATTATGCTTAAAGAATTTTTTATTAACTCTTTAGTCTGTGTTACTATTTAACATATCTTTAATATGAATAGGAGATTATGCTTTTTATACTGAACTTTTGTAAATGTCTATGTACTCTTTAATTGAAATATAATTTTACAGACAATGGAATCTGCTATGGGAACAGCTACCACATTAAGTACACCACAAGACCAAGTAGAGGCTTTAATACACCAGGTTGCTGAAGAAAATGGTTTAGAAATGATAGACCAAATACAAGATTTAAATCCTAATACTGCCTCATTACGCTCCACTGATAAAGGTGAAAGCAGTAAAGAGGATGATCTTTCTAGAAGGTTTGTTATAAGCTTATGTTTAATGAATCATCTTTCCAAAGTTTACCAGTTGACTTTCATGTAAATGTGTACTAAAAATATTGTTGCTGAGAGGTTTGCCTTTGTAAAGTTAGGGGGACTAATGGATTGTCAATAAACTGCACAAAGAAGGCCACTGAAAAGCTCAAGGCTGGAAAACTTTCAACTAAGTGTACATCATGTTTTATTTTATTTAAACTCTCCATTCAAGGGTGAAAAATTTGTCCTTTGTTGTTTTTGTGAATCCTTTGAGCTTCATATTTAACCTCATTGAAAACCTTTCTCAGTCAAAAGAATTGTTTAACCCTGCACTAGAGAAAAATGATTTTGTTAAAAAAATTTAACACTCTTAACCTTGTTTATGGAAGTATATCAAATTATTATAACTCTATGTATCTTGTATATTTCAGACTTCAAGCTCTACGACAATAAGAAAGTATTTTGTGATAAACCAATGTGTATATTTATATATAGAGTGTATACCTCTTTTTATATCATGAATAATCACAGGGCTTTTAATTAAATAATTTCTACATCATTGCCATAGAAATCTGTTCAAAAGTCATTTCAAAAGTCATGTCTTTGCAGCAGAATTTATTGATAAGAATATTTATATTTAAAAAAGATTCATATGTAGGCGAGTAGTGGGAATGACTGTAAGGGCTCGATCACACTACAGGCAGAGCAGGACACCGCAGAGAAGAGCTGGGCAGTGCAGTCAGGCGTTCAAATTTAAGCAGAGAATGTCAACTTGAAAACAATCATTCAATGCGGAAGATTTCTCAAGGCAACATCTACTTTTCTTTTTTTTGAAATATAATTATGCAATTCATCACACCAATATCAGTAAGTTTTCATATTGATTTCCACCCATTTCTTCACCAAATACACAAATAGCATTCAATTAAAATGATGTTTGGATTAGTGATATTATAATAGATGTTGGAAGGGAATCGAAAAGGCAAGACAATTCCTTTAATAAGTTGTGAAAAAATTCATCATCAAGTCTATATAATTGTAATTTATATGAATTACCACTTGTAATAAAACCCCATGTCATTGTTTTGTTGATCATGTTAATTCTTGTATTGTTTTCATTTTCATATACATGTTATAGATTTTCCAGCTGTCAAGGGGATTTCACAAGAAAACAAATTTCCTATCTGCAAAAGACATCATGGGAAACAGGGTTAAAATTTCATAAGTCCTGTCTTGACCCTGATGCGATGCGAATACTAGTGACTGTTATATGATGTGTGGTGTTAATATTATTAATAACAGTGGCTTAACTACTGTAGGGACTGGTTAAAACAAGGCCCCACCCCAAGAAAAAAAAAGAATGCAGGTTATTTGCTACAAAATAATATCACCTAGTTCAGTGACTGAAAAGAAAACTTCATATGAACAATTCAAAAATGATGCAGAAAAGAGCATTTATTACTAGAAAGACACAAAAATTACAATGATAAATGAGGCTGTTTTCTTGATGCTGCCATGAGAGAAAGAAAACAACAACAAAGCTTTTGACACAAAAACAAATTCAAGCAAGGCATTTATTTTTCTACTGAATAAATCAATAATAGCACTTCAAAACAACAAGTCACATAACAATAGGCCCTACACAGAAAAGCAATTCTGATGACACAAAGCCAGGAGTTCCACCATAATTTATTGAAGAACATTAAACATAAATCCACAAGCAGCATTTGTGAGTATAGTAAATGATCATATTAAATATTGCACTGATGTTACACTAATATAACAAACAAACAAAATAATCAAAAATCGATTTACAAATTTCATTATTAAATGCATGATAAACAGTGAATTCTCTTTGTCAACAAAACAGCTATCCTTAAAGTGAATAAAACATTATTTTTTTTCTTCTGTAAAAGATCCATCAACATGCAAGTGGCATATTTGCCATGGTTACCTCAATGATGACTCATAAAGATCTAATGCATTAACATGGCAACCCAAAATGGATGAACAGCATACAAGAGGTTCCCACTATCATTAATAAATTTGGTATGAAAGATGTAAAATGAAATATTAACAATGATGAAAAACAATAAGTGAACACATTAGTATCACAATTTTGGTTTCTTGTGAATCAAAAGCTATTTATAGCAAATTGTATGATTACTTCAAGCACTTTAGCGTCTGCTCAAGTTTAATTCAATTTAGTGTCGTCTGCAAGCAAGTCAAAGGGAGGCAACTGTGATATTTTTCTAACTATGGATGAAAAACATGTTTCTTATCCTGATCTACAGAGGTGGGTGGGGTGTGGGATCTAAATCTGAACTGATTATATGAGTAACCCAATTCTAAATTCTATTTCCTTCCTCTTAAAGTTATATGATATAAAATGATTATAAGATATTTGATTTCACGAACTATTTACAAAATGGAGCAAAATACACCTGAATATTTACACAAGTATCACATGTATTAAATGATATGAGAAAATATCACATCAAAGTTTAAAGTATTGCAAGGTTTTAAGCAAACCAGAACCCAAAGGTGGAAATATTAATTTCGATGTTTGGAACTGATGGTCCGAAATCCATGTATAATCTGGCAGAGATATTTCTGTTCATTCAAAACGTAAACAGGAGCAGACCACTGTATTTTGGGTAGAATAGAATAGTACAGAATAGTAATAGAAGCTATACAGACTAAGCTTATATTGGGTTGACTACTACTTAAACAACCTAAAAGTGAAATGGACTGCTCATATTTGCAACTAGCCCAAAAATCATCTTGTTTCTGTAACAATCAGACATAGATTTCAAGACAAAAATGAAGTTATTCAAGTTTGAATTTGCTCCATCTTATTAAAGTTTCTGGGGATCTGTAAAGGAAAATTAATTTGGCAAATAAATCTTCTTCTAAACGTAAGTCGTTGCTTTCTCGAACCATATAAATATCAAGACACAGCTGTAATACTCTGTCGACAAATGGTAGCTCTTCAAACATGATTCTAAAGGACACTCCAATAAATATAGTGGCCCGTACAAATCTTCCAATTACAAATACTAATGATATATACAACCCAATTATACTGAAAAATACAAACATATCAAAATCTGTTACAAAAATATTACATTTTTAAATTCAGCTGGTTATTATTTTAAGTCAATAAAACACAATAATCTTTGATCAATTTTTGAATCGTAAAAATATATACAAAATATGAATATAATCTTAAATATAGAACTCTTTTGTAATTCGTTTATTATATTATAATCATACATTATATTAATTTTGATCTTAAATATAAGTTTTTTCAAACAAAATACAAGTATTTCATTATTAATTCAATCAGTGTTTTTAACAATTTTTAACACAATTTTAGTATGAAAGCTTTAGGTATGTCCACAAATTTATCCAACTGAAGACATAACTTCTTTATTTTAGCATATACTAGTAACCATACATCCTTAAAACTTAGCATATAACCATGGCAACATAAGTGACTCTTATATTTTAGAGGTGAAAAGAAATACATACGTCCTTAATTCAAACATTAAATAATTGGATATAACATCGTTTTGTTATCAAGTCGAAGAAAAGGGGAAAAGGTCACATTTTCTGGGACTATTGTCACGAATCTCTGGAATATCATGCAGTGATAATCTATGAAGATAGGCAAAGAAGGCTTTATTGGGGCGGTGGAACACATATTTCAATGCATTTTGATATTTTGTTTGCTATGAGGCTATGATTTAAAGTAGATATGAATAAGTTAAAGAGTATTTTACAATAAATAGTAAATACATATATAGAAAATACAACATAGAAAATGACATGAAGTTCACACACTACTAAAATACTAGAGTCTAAGCCATTCTACGACACACCTATTACAAAAGTACAAATATAGCAAAATTATGGACTAGGTCCATATATTACAGAAGTTATGGCCGGTTTCATTTCTCATAATGAACACAATAATTTATAGCCAAGAATTGGACTGGCAAGGATTATGAAGCAATGATGACGACTTATCAATATCAAATTATCAAATTATTTTAAAGGAAACCTAAAATATAAAAGAGTCCATTTTTTTTTTTTATTAAATATTTTCCAATTTTAAAACAGTTCTTTTTATACTGGGTAGTAATAGAAATATAATTAAAAATATTAAAACTGAACTTGAATCATGTTGTTACTCAGAGTTTCACACTAGGGATCATCAGACGACCTGTGTCTCTACTAAAGTTGGACAAGAAGAACTTATGTGTATTCAACAATCAGTGATATCATTTTGACCGAATAAATGGTGATCAAATATTACTTCATACACGACTAATGTTTCAATCTTTCACTTTAAAATTGATAAATTTGATATTGATAGGTTTCAAAATGAAGATGATTTTTACAATGAAAATGTATGAAAGTTAAAAAAACATTCTTTAGCAAATATAGGCACCTTATTGATAAAAATAATAACAAAAAGCCATTACTACAACAATTTTAGAAACAAATTTCTTAAAATATACCCTAAACTAACTAAAAACATGTGGGATTTTTAACTGGTTTTTAATTTGAGTGTTTCTTGTCTATAAGCTGTCCATCTGATCAACGTTTCTGGTGAACGGTACAGGAATACAATTTTAGAGTATAGGTCTTCTTCTAATCGGAATTCTTTCATTTCTCGAACCAGGTAGATATTCAAACACAATGTTAATATCTTATCAACATTGGGTAATTCTCTAAACATGATGGTAAAAAGTTGTCCTGTTAAAGCCATTCTTAAAAATCTTCCAATTAATAAGATGAAGGATAAGTAGAGACCAATGATACTGAAATAAACAATAAAAATACCATTATATATATATACTTAGTCTGTATATCATATTCATACATTATTTTGGCATTAAAGGTCAATGAAAGATGGGTTCCTGTAATTAATCTGACTAATTTATAAACATACGATTTCCAAAACTGAAGAATTGAATGAATGGGCTTGTGACAGGTAAATGGGAAAAGCCATGCAATATGCAATGAGGAAAATTTTGTCAGAGCAGTATTTCCACATATATCTGGATTAAATCATAGACCTTCAAGTTTGTGACCACACTCATGTAGCCATAGCAGCCCCCTCCAATGCTAGAGAGTGAGAAAAAGTTAGCCAGTAGTAAGATTATTTTGATTAAACTAGAACCCATCTTTAAGAAAGTAGTTAACAAGCTTTTTTTTTAACAGAATTTTTTGAAATTCAAAGTTTCATGCATATGAACAAGCTTTATCAAGAGCTATTCATTTCACATGTTGTGTTATTTTGAGTCACTTTCTGATAATGAATATGATTGCTTTTAACATAATCTGTTAATAAAATAAAATTGTCACAAAAGCACAGGTCGGGTTTTCTATCAGTAAAAAAAATACTCACATGTAGAACAATGTTAGCGTGAAAATACAAGGATTACAACATCTACATACATGTATTGAAGCTAGGGGTAAGATAAGCATAAATACAGAGCAATTATCTAACTATTCAATACAATATTTTTTCAAAGGGATAGGTTTGCCATCTGTTTGACCAACTGTACCTTAGTCTAAGAATCAGGAATTTTTTTAGCTTAGCTAATCAGTAATAGTGATCACAGCTCATCATCGAAGTTTGATCCGTCAAATCCATGTGTGTTCAGAATTATCTGTGTTTAAAAGTAAAAACGATGACTCAATGACATATTTAGAAAAGTTCGTCTTTTCATTAAAATATCATATTTAGAAAAGAAAATGAAATTCCTAGAAGAATTATGCAATTTTTGTACATTTCTAGTACTTCTGAAGACTATCAACGTATATTCAAAACACAAATCAAAACTTGAAAATGGCGAATCTGTCCCTTTAAACAAGAAGATTAAAAAAAAACTTAAGAATAAGGTTTGGCATTAGCTTTTAATTTCTATCAAAGAACATGCTACTTTAATCACTATTAAGTATTGTTAAAACAATATTATTAAGCTAAGTGACTTTACAAAACAATTCTTGTATTTCATAAAATATTTCATATACACGAAGTAAAAAATAATGGCAAATCTTAATTTTGCATATAAGCTGTTTTAGCGTTGTCGAGTAAAGTCACTTTCTGATCAAGTACAATATTTAAAGCTATAATGCGATTAACAATAAAGGCAATCAAACTTTAAAATCTAACAATTTAGCAATGGCCATTTTAGACAAATGTCAGATTCCAGGCACATTTTGATTCTGTTTCAGTCTTGTAATTTCAACCAATCAAGAACATCAATATTTCCTTGTGATGTTGGGCATTTAGTCCACAACCTTTTGAAGTATAACAAATATATCCATGCACATTTCCAAATGTAACCCAGAAGAATCTATTTTGATTCAAGGTAGAATAATTGGTAATTCACCAACAGAAGGCAAACATATTACCGGTATATATTCATAATCAATTTTACTACCTATAAAAGTAGACTATTTATGTTTTTTGATGTGCAGAAAAGTCTTTGTCTAATTTGTAAATTTGTTAGAAACTAAAATTACCCATTTAGTACATGTTATATGATTAATTAACTATTTTTCTACTATAAATGTTAGTAAGAATATTGGTCTGTACTATCTACTAATTCACTACAATACATATTAAATTCTATACAACAAATACAAGCAACACTTAATGACTAAAAATCTAATAGAAATAAGCTTCTACATGCCAGCAATTATTAAATAAATTCTGTTTATTGTTAAATCCGAGATCGAAATTCAATAAACCATTTCTCTCATGTATATGGATTAAAGGTTTGAAAAGCTATTTTCTAAATATTTTAGTATGAATTAAGGACATGATAGCATTGATACGCAACATTCCAATTTTCAGCTAAAACAATCATAGGGCCATTGGGATAGTGTAACGTTTTAGTTTAATTACAAGGACTACGGACATTTGACTGAAAATTAGAAACTGATGCTATCAATGTCCCCAATACACTTAAAAAGTTTAGAAACCTCTTTACAATCCCTTTAACAGTCTGTCTAACATTTTGCAAATTCAGTTACACATGACTGGCAAATGTTGACTAGAATGTTTAAGATGTAGTTTATTGAATCCCTGATTCCCTGATTTTAAACATCAACATTCTAAATCTACAAACACTTAATCTTTGCAAAATGCATACAAATTCACAACAATTTATGTAAAAATGTGCCTACTTACCCATAACCAGTAATAATAGAGAAACCAGCTGGTGCTCTCCGATCATTGAATGTTAAAAGATAAAGTTGTGAACTAGATGACTGTTTATCAGGTGAAGGATTAAACATATCATTTGGTAATAAAATCTCATCAGCTTCCCACCATTGAGCGAAATCACTTAGATTACCCAGTCTGTCATCTTCTAGTAATACTAATGATAAATTACTATAACCATTTCCTTGTACATCTAAAAAATATAAATAATATAGTTCAGTTACTATTTAAACATATCAACTGTTAGATAAAAATTATGAATTTCTGAATTTGTTATTAAAATATGTCAATATTTTGAATTTGTTATCATAACAATATGTCAACATTTCTGAATTTGTTATTACAATATGTCAATATTTTCTGAATTTGTTATTATAATTATAATATGTCAACATTTTCTGAATTTGTTATTATAATTATAATATGTTAAAATATTTTGAATTTGTTATCACAACAATATGTCAACATTTTCTGAATTTGTTATTATAACTATAATATGTTAAAATATTTTGAATTTGTTATCACAACAATATGTCAACATTTTCTGAATTTGTTATTATAATTATGTTAGAATATTTTGAATTTGTTATCGCAAAAATATGTCAGAATATTTTGAATTTATTATTACAATATGTCAAAAAGTTCTGATTTTGTTATTTTAATATCAAGTCGTTAGTGAATATTTTGGTATTACATTCAGGTAGAATTTTCTGACGATGTTTACTAAAACTTATCAGTCAAAGTATTCAATTAATTATATTCAACATCTCAAATAACAAATGATAATTTTAACAGAATTATAAAGAAGAGGGAAAATAAAAATTCATTTACCACCAAACTCTAATAATGAGGGGACATCACTTGCTCTTCCTTTAGAACTTAGCCTCATATATCTTGGGAATAGTTCAGTAATGTTCCTACAAAATCAATTATCCAAATACATTCAATACAATAAGAATAGCACTAACAAAAACATGGACAACCTCAAAGAGACTGAAGTGCTGGATATTGCCATTCATAACACAATATGATCTGTATCACGATATGAGGGCTATGATACGATAGGTATCATGATATTGGTGAATGGATTAAATGTACATAACTTAGTAAAAAACTAATGATTTACTTGCTGGAAATAAGAGAATATATTTCTAGTAATTTATTGTCTTATTGTTTTCCTATCGCCATGATTACGCTTGTGAAAAAAAAATTTCATGCCTATTTGTTTGGTATGCCTGTCAAGTATCTATACACAATTAAGCGCTGCAATAGGTGTATCGTGATGCATCAATTCACTAATATATCTTGCCAGAACTAGTCACTTTCAGTTCACTCACTTGAAATTATTACTTACATTTTGTCATTTCCAGCTGTATCATTCAATATATTTAATAATTGTTTTTTAGTTTTAGCATCCAGTTCTCTGGTAAACTGATGACTGATTAATTCTGATGCTCCTGATGTGGACTCTCTGAAATAGAAAATAAGTATAATTGTCACATCTTTTTTTTCTCTATAAATACTGTATTTGATAAAGAGAATCAAGGGGCCTTAATCTGAAAACTTAACTTGTTACAATCATCTGATTGGTCAATCACTAAAGTCAACTTTAAATTTAGTCATATTATCCAATCAGAAAACTGTATTTCTTAAAATCTGAATCTTCTTTAGCTTTTGAGAATAAGACCCCAGAGCTACTATTTGACGAGTTGGTGATTTAGACTCATAATAAGAATAGATCTTAATCTTTCCAAGAACCATTAAGAATTTCACCTACCTAGAGAAATCTAGAGAGAACTCAACTCTCATACTATCTTGACTATTGAGTAATGTTATCAGAGCTGATACACTAGGTGGACTAATACCCCACAATGCTGTTGATGTTCCATTTAATTGTGTCACTGATATATCTTCTTGTTCATAGTTCGACAAGAATGCAGAGGCATCCTGAAAAAATGTCAAAGAAAATTTTAAGTTTAAAACATAATAATGACAATCATCTATCACAATATGATGCTAGTCTTATGCTGCGTTCAATGCCTGCTGAGAATATTGTGTTTACAACTTTCCTGGACATCCGAATCTCGTGTGGGGACAATATTCACTATGTAACTATGAAGGAAGCTGAGGTTAGGTTCGCAGCGTTTTTTATATTCCAATTGCAAGCTCTTTATCAACTTTTGTTGAATGGCTCTAAAGATCCTTAACAAAGAAGAACCACATTTGAAGTTCTAGCCATGTTTACTCAAGTCAAGGTGAAGTTTGTTAAAGTTTTTTAAAATTTTTGGCAGTAGTAAATATGAGACAAACCCAATATCAAATGGAAATTCACAACATTTGCCATGTTAACACAGTAATCGCAAGAGGTATCGAATAAGGTATTAGGTACAAGTGAGCAAGTGACATCGGTATTTCTTTCGGTAAGTCCAAATCTACACCAGCAGTTGATGCTAATTCAAAGCAAAACTAAATTTCAAGTTAATTGATACATCAATGTAGCAAAAGTCAACAAGACTTTTAGCTATTTTCTCATTTTATAAATCTATCAATGGTAAAAAACATACTAAAAACCCACAAAAACATGTCCCCATGTAGCCCAACCATTTAAATGGAAAAAATTTAGAATAAGACAACCTTCCGTCACCAACAAAGAAAATTGTATCCTACAGGCAAAAATAAATAAAAAATGAAAATGTGATCACCAAATATTCCACATAATAAGTAAACATAATTCTATAATATTTTGTAGAAACATTGCTTCTTCTAAGGCAAATTCATGATCGTCTCAATACACCCTTATCTTATTCTTGATCACTACATTGTCAAAATATTTAACATCAGTTTTCATGAACTCTGAATAATAAAATATATCTGCATCTGTAGCTTAAAATTCCCTTCGTTAGTTTTCATAAAAGGAATCAAAATCAAATAGTAACACCATCAAATGATCATCTTCATACTTCAAAACGAACTTCATACTTATACCTTGACAGCAATAGTCACCTTTCTTGTGTCCTGAAAGTTTGTATATGAAGCAGTTTGATTGTATGCTAGCTTATACAGCCAATCACAGGTTTCGACAGAAAGTCTGTGAACACAGCCTTTCTTGAGGGTTCTAATTGACTGTATTTACTGGCGTACAATCCAAACACAACACTGAATTCCTCAATACAAGAATAGTGAATATTGTAGTCAAGGTATAAGTATGAAGTTCATAATAGCTTGATATAGTGAAGATGTCAGATGATCAGCATGAGACTTGACAATAGCATTTTTATGAAAACATGCCACTAAGAAAATCAGGAAATTGCAGCCACAAACATCAAAATCAAAATCTGTTAAATGGCAGCAGCAATAAATGAACTTCTATTCAAATAAGAAACCACTTTCCACTAATTTGAACTTCTGCAAGAATGAGTCCATAACCTAGATGTTTCACACAAGACCAGCAGTCAATACTGCCAAACCACTTCAGAATAAAATTCATAAGATTACTTGCATGTTTTCTTGACACAAACTTGTGTTCTGTTACACTCTAATAAATTAATACCAAATATTTTGTGAAAACAGCCATTAAATTGTTCATGCAAAAATATACTCAATCAATAAAAAATCCGAATACCAAGATTTGGGGTCAAAATAAGTTTTGATTGGAATCCTTGTTCTAGGTAGAAATAAAAAATTGTTAGTAGGATACTTGCATCAGTAAAAACAGTATGTCCACCATAGAAATTCTAATAAATTTATATTAGTTCATTAGGATTGTTAGTAAAATTTATAAATAAATGATGATGATGATGATGATGATGCAGTCTAATTTAATTTTGTAGCCACTTCAGTCTAACATTAGCCTTCCCAATAACCTTTTGACCTTACTTAACGACCTCTGCTTTAACCAATCAAATTTCTTCCCTTTCCAGAGCTGGGATTTTGTCAGAGAGTGAAAAAAGTTGATTGATTAATGCAGAGGTCATCAAGTTAGGTCAAAAGGTTATTGTGATTAAAGTTCAAGAAGGCCGTCAATAGACCCTAACTGAAGTGGCTTCATCGTAAATTAAAAGACAATAAAAAAAACAAAGCAAACTTTTGGTCAAAAGATGATTATAATATATATATATAAGCCTGTCAGTACCAATCTCAAACACTCATCTTGCTTTGCAAAAAAAAATGTCATCATAATCTAACACTGAAACCATGTGACCATCCAGATTCAAATACTTTTCGAGCCACTCCATGTCAACCAAACTTTAAGCATTGACAATCTTACACCAGGAAGATAAGGATTGTGTACTTACCCGATTCCGAATGTACCGTTTCTGCAACTGATCATATTCACTAGACGACAGTTGTCTGATACTTTGGTTCTGTGCATTCATTATGAGTAATGGTTGAAATCCTGCTATAGTTACTGATGCTTTACATTGAAATGGTGGATTGGGTACATAGACCGTGTTAGCGAATGAAAACAAGACCAGAGGGAACCAGATAACAAATATAATCAGGAATAATAACAATCCACCGACGCCATATTTAATAACTGCTTTACGTTTATTTCCTCGGGGAGTAGGATATGTCTGGAAATGAAAAGAAACAAAATTAGTATATTTAAATGAAGACAAAACAGTCTAACTGTGCATAGAGACGAAATGCAGTGTTCATGTGTTGTATGTTGTTGGATGATCGATATAATAGAAAATAAAAACAACAAATCATGTCTGCAAGTTGTCTTGACTCAAACCTTGTGTATGCGCTTCTTCTACTATTATGGACATCGTTCCTTATGTATTCACAGTTTTAGTCAAAGAAATATTATAAAGATATTGAAACTTACAGCTTCAGCATGTCTCCAGCATTTTAACACAAAAATGTTGGCATAGATATCTTCCATTTGTAGCCAGCTTCCCAGTGCAAGAGTTGTATCAGTCCAAATCCAATCCATTAATGCTCGTAATTCTAACAAGAATGGAATGGCTAAAAATCTAAAAGCAAACAAATAGTAATATATCGAGCACATTCTCCAATGCTAAAAAAATTCTATTAAGAATCCAAATAGTGTATCGGAACCTTGCCTGGAATTGAATTTGATCCCAGAATAACAAATCCTTCAAAACAATAAAATGTCAATCTTCTTTTGAATTTTGGCATCCCTTTTGTCAAATTTTCCCATAGCATTTTTAAAATAAAATAAGGTTATTTTCATACTGAGTTTCTTCAAAGAAGAATTTGGATGGAAATAACTATAGATAGAACTCACCCTTTAAACAAGAATAGATTTAAGTAGTTGTATTTTTTAGTTAGGAAATTACCAAGTATTCTAGTTGGATATCCACATCTTATTTGATAAGCTGATAATCCAAAATATATACATTTAATAAAATACCATAGTTGTGCTGGTACATTATCATAGAAACTCCTGAAATATATCATAATAAAATATATAATCATCCAAAGGTTCAGCCAGCAGTCTAAAACATATCTGTATCTAATGCTATAGAAGTTTCAAAACAGAACCTAAAACATGTTGTTACTCAGAGTTTCACCCTGTTCTATATGCCAGTTAATCATAAAAAAATATCAAGCCTATATGTTAGAGACACACACAAAAAGAGTGTTTGATATTGGACAATGTGTCTATAAAACCTTTAAAGAAATGGAAATAACTCTCACCTTTTTGTAACAGCTGGTAGAACAAAGAACATCCAAATATGTATGACTACTACTAATATTAATTGAAATATAAACTTTCCAATGACATTTTTACGAAGGAATAGAGCTCTATCTACTATTATTAGTACAAACTGTGTTATCAACATGACAAGGAATGGTACCGGTACCTACAAATACAGAAAATAGAAAATAAACCAACAGCCTACCTAAAACCTGACTGATTAATGAATGACCAAATTCACCAATGTGAATGTAGATGTTTATATAGTGTTATGGGAACTATGAGCACATTGGAAGCCATCTTTGTTCTTTCACAATGATAGGAGCTATCATCAAGCTAAAATTATATGCACATCTAGGCACTGAAACTTTGGTTGAAAATGAAATGAAATAAGCAGAGTTTTACGTCTACTTTTCTGCACCACGTGGGCTAATGAAGGCAGGGTGCAATGCGTGAAATTTTGCCAGGACAGTGCCATTAGCCTGCTCTTTATCGTTTTCCACCTGTCGAGGGATCTTTAACGTGTACAGCCTGGTTTATTGTCCAATCTGAATGAATAGATGCTTTTTCCATGTATGCTCCAAAAGTATTATCTCGACTAAAACTTTGGTTGATATTTTTTGAATGAGAAGGAGGACAACTCTACTGTAAGCCAACTCTTTATGGCTCACAATCATATCAAAGTCTGTGACTATTTTCATGGGATCCGCCTGAAAAATATGACACTTACCCTATTTTCAGAAAGATAACTAGTGACATCACCACCACCAGATGTTTGCTGTAAAATGATAAATAAGTATCAATTAATATTGAAACTATGTATATAGACTTATACATACAATTTTCTCAAATATTCCTTGAAATTTTTTAGATTCTTCAAGATATCTCTTAAAATATTGCTTTAGATTAAAGAGAAGACAACTTGAATTAAACATATATGCAAGAGGTTTATCCTGTCATTCAACAGGCTGAAGTTTTCTTGGGCAAATAGATACAAATTGTCTAAATAACTACTTACTGCTGGTCCAAATGCCCAATAACCAAAGACAACAATAATAAAAGTAATAAAATCACATAGAAACATTGGTGCATAAACATCTACTGTGGCTACGTATTGAGATTCTGTTACTTGATGGTAAAATTCTTTAATTGGTCTCAAACATTTCTGCAAACTGAAAATAAGATCATTAATGGGATAGTCACAAGTCAGATGAATCGACAAATGATAGTCAAAAGTGGTGTGTGGAAAATTTGTACTATAAACTGATTTAAAATTCAATAAATGCAGTGTGATAATTCATCTTAAATTCAGTTTTTTCTTTCCTTTTGGTTTAGTTAATTAAAGATGGATTCCCTTATTTTCTTTTATAAAAATGAAAATGCCAATACTTAAATGAATAGAAAGTAGATGTGTCAAAAAAATCTCAGATGTCCATAATTAATTCATAATTAGCTAAATTACAAGAGAATTACCAGAAGAATTCTAATGAGTGACCGATCAAGAAAGGTCAAAAAGTATTTTTTTGTTTATCCAGACTGAACATACTGGAGATTTATGATTGGTTAAAACTCTTAATTATATGCATTAACAGCATAATGATATGATTAATAACACATGGTAATTCATTAGAAACACTAATTAATCAAATAGTTTGCAAATAGATTGTTAAATTTGACACTAAAAAAATAAGGAAACCCATCTTTAAAATGTGACACACGATTGAAATAATAAAACCTAGTTTATTTGAAATAACACAAGAATCTAGACTTTTCTATAACTAATTCTGAAGCAGGATTTGTTAATGCCCACAATTGAACAGAACAGAGATAGTGGCAAGGACAGGCATACTGGCTTAGGGTTATTCTCTCCAAATTTATAATAGGTAAGGGTGAAGGGATTTCAAGGAATAGTCATCATTATTTATATCATATACTTTTCTTATTTATTCCAAGTTGTGATGCACAAAAATCACCTTTTTCATGATCATTATATTAATATTGTACATAATCATTATATTAATATTGTATAGGATTTAGAGGAATGGTAAGGATAAGAATATAATTTAGAAAATTAAACCAACTTTGTTAATAATATCATCGTGCTATAAAGAGAATATAACTTGAAAATAAAATTGAGGTAAAAGGCAATAAATTATAATTAAAAGAAAAATACACAGAGTTAGTCAACTTAAGAGAGGAAGACATTTCAACATCTAAAAAACAAAATTCAGTGTCAATGCAGTGACCACTTTCAGTAGCAACACCTCTGTTAAAACATATTTGGATAGGCGTAGATTATGTGCTTAGTTATAAGAATTCTATATTGATATGTACCTTTGTTTAACTTTACTTGGTGGTTTTTTACCATCATCAACTGTATCAGTACTAGACTGTACTTGTGCTGATGAACACTGTCCTTCTTCCATTCTTAATGGTTCAACTTCTTCAGTCTAAACAATCAAAATTTGATAAACAATTAAAAAAGAATTCAAAATTCAAATCAAAAATAAAATTGGCAAGAGCTGATCTCATGTTGCCAAAAATGTATCAGATCACCATCAGGGCAAAGAATGTTCCATCTGCTCAACATTTAGATATACAATTAAATACCTACCATAGGTGATGTGGGTGGGCTTAGTTCTCTTTCTCCAGCTCTAGCTAAATCTGCTTCAATATCACCAGCATCTCTCCATAAACCATATCTCTATAATAAAATATATAATATCACATTGACTCACATTTCACATCTTCTCAAAACTAATCATATCTTTATCGAATTAGCTGTAAGTCTTCAAAATGGTAACAATATTCATTTATTTTTGCGATAATTTCTCAACGTTGATATTGACTCTGACACCCAGACATCTTTCGTCAACAGCTGTGCGTAGACAAAGTGGCACAGGATAGTTGAGACTACTGTATACACATCATTAACCAATCTCAAAAATGAAACACGGTTCATTATGCATGTACATGGCTAAGAAGGCTAAAATTTTAAAGGTTAGCTGTGAATACTGAAACCAATTAGCTTAGTTGAACAATTCCCTTTTCTGAGACCAAGTAAAATTGATATGTCCCCTTAAAAAATATTCTATAAAATAAGCTGAGAGTATGTTTCCATTGCATTATTTCAATCAATAGATGAGATCTATTAACAAATAAAACAAAGCAACTAACCTTCAATAAAGATCTATGTATAAACAAAGCCAACAACAATACAAGATCTAATGAAGCATAGTTTGATTTCTGTTCTATACCAATGATTCTTGGTGGCCAGAATGGATCATCAGTAAAAGCAACATCATTCCATGGGAAAAATGAGAACTGGAATAAATACTTGATGACTACCAATGCCTGAAAAACAAATTAACAAGATTTTGGATATCCATTGAAGGACTGTTTTGGACCATTTATAATTTAAAAACCATTCCAGGATGTTGGGTTCAGTTATTTGTCTAATAATTTGGCACCTTATTCTTAACTTTTTGGGATCCAACAAACTGTACATTCCAAACTTAAAACAAATCAAATCAAGGATCAAGCTGAAGCAAGAAGGCGCAAATGCCTCCTTTTGAAACTACTTGTTATGATATTACTACATATTTTGAATCCGCTCAGACCCCCATTGCTGCATTTTAACCTAAGACAATATTTTCATCATTTTTGCAGGGATTTGGCAATAGTTTGGTTGTTCTTACATATCAAAAGTAATCAATCATAACTAAACTAACCTCAGTGTAAGTGATAACAGTAATCCAGAATGTCTTAGATGGTCTTGGGATGGATAACATTCCCCATAAAAATACCATGAGAGGTAGAGGTAGTGAGATCAGACAGGCATAGATCATCTGATTTAGTATCATCAGGAAATAACAGAGAAGATCTGTACGTGATACTAAAACATAGTAGGTAGCTACTAGTAACCGATACAGTATGGGTTGATTCTTCTCAAATTCTGATTCAGGATCATCAATATAATCATCATCATCTATTAATTGTTCATCCAGACTACAATAAAACAGGATAGTTTATTATCATAATGCATGATTTCTGTAGCAAGTGGCGTTCAATTGGTGTGTTCTGATTGTTCAGGATTTGTAGAATCATCCAGTAAGTCATTAAAACATGTTGAAAAAAGGTTCAGAAAGTGTTTAATGTTTGTCGAAAAAATAGTAGGCTTAGAATTCAAAATGGTGGAGAATTGAATGTACAGTTCAATGGAACAGACAGAAGCTGTATCTATATGACATACTGCTTGCCATGTTTTGTACAATGTTTGGAACAATTTCAGTTGATTGTGTCAACCCATTTCTAAAATTTTTCAATTGTTTCATTAATCTAAGTTTAATTACATGAGTACCAAATCTATATTTTTGATATTTCAGACTGAAATGTTAGTAAGAGAATTCGGTTGTAGATTCAAGGAACAAAGGCATGTACAGACTCCTCAAATGGTTTGAAGGGTCAGCCCAGTATTGACTCTTAACCCCTTCTGATATACTTCTACTGCTGTCATTTCTACCAACTAAATACATGCTCTACATATGCTAAAACATTCAAACAAGTGCCCCCATGCCACTCAACCCCTTGGCTGCGCCACGGCCTTAAAGACATTGTAAAAAGGTTTTCTACATTTTTTATGTGTATCTGGGACACTGATGGTATCAAATTGTACCATTCCAATTTCAATCAGACGTCTGTGGTTACTGCAATTCCACTAAAACTAAGTGTTTGATGACGTCACTAATCATGAAGGGCCTTATGTAATATAAAGCATATTTTTAGATAAGTGACTAAAAATAATGATTTTTTTTGTGGAATTGCAGGAACCACAGAGAGACAATTTAGAAAACCTCTTTACAATCTCTATTTTAACAGTATATTTAGTCTGCTTTTCAATCAGGACTACAACAATATGGAACAATCTCCCAGTTTGAGAATTCAAGTTATTTGTTTTGTGCAGTTTCACACACACACACAAACACATACAATAAACACAACAAAACACATTAGGACAAATGATCTGTTAGACATTTGGAATGGAAATTTGGATATATAGGGAAATTCAGATCGTTGTTAGCAGGAAAATTTGATTAGTTCAATAGAGAATATCATTACTGATTATTTAACTTTGATATTACTAAGGATATTAAAAAGAGTCACTTTACTGCTAGATATATTTAAATATATTTGAAGAGATATGAAATAAGGAAGTTGTGTGTTACAAGAAAGAAAGAGTCCATTTTACCACATATTAGTCAAAATGATGAATGGTATGAAATACTTCTTATTTACATTATAAAATTTGTGATGTCATTACAACATAAAATTCGAGTAATTTCAGGATTCTAGATGTTAAAAATTAGACATTAAAGGAATATTCAAAAGAAGTTCTGTGCAATGTCAAGATCACTATTGTTTTCAGCTTTCAAAAACTTTAGGACCAATGGCAAAAAATCCCCACAAAACTGGGCCTACTTTTTCTGTCTCTACACCAGCCTACAACTTTCGGAGGTTGGATTTGTGGCAGATGTTTTGGTCTAATGTCAATGGAGGTGCTCATCAATCAAAGGATCAAGACATGTATTTAAATAGACTGATGAGTGAATGGTTTACATGTAGTTAGTTAGACGTGTTAGGGGAGACAACTACAAACTACATTTATCATTGCATTTCACTCCAAACACTTACACGACAGATGTTGGTTTACTGCAATTTAAAATTCAAGTAAACCATGAGATATTTGACAGTAAAATTGGAAAATTTATGTAACATAAGAAAGAGTAACAAAAAAGTCAGGAATAAAATATAAACAAAAATTTAAAAATGTTTTAAAGCAAGAATATAAATTGAAAAATCAAAGCAGTAACTGCAAAATCCTATAAAACAATCTAGGAATAGATCAAAAATATTTTTTTTTTGGAAATTTTCTAAGAAGTATTTGCCGACAAGTTTTTCTTAAAAAAAATGGCTATATACCTGAGTGAACTGACAGCATTATCCATAGGTCTTTCAGTTCTAACCTCCAACAGATCAGAATCATTGATAGCTTCAGCATCAGGTTTGACACCTCCGTCTGCTTCTTCTGATTCAGAAGATGAACTAGCTTTTCTTTTCTTCTCTTCTACAGATACATGTTGTTTTTCAGCCTGTTAAAATGACAACAAATATAAAGCAATGAAAATTATTGTAAGCTTCAATATTTGAAAAAAAAAAAAAGAGTTTCACACAAAATGTTTAGAGAGTTTTTAATCTTGGTATGCATGTATCCATTTTCACAATGTCAAGCTATTACCACTTTCAGCTTATATCTTGACTCCAATAGCCGCCTTTCTTGCATCAAGTTTGTAACTTTCTGCGTTCCCTGACACAAGAAATGCAACTATTGCAGGCAAGGTAGAAGACAAATGTCTTAATAGCTTGACATTGTGAAAATTATGTAGGTATTATAAAACCTAAACCATTTTTCACGACCAAAAATGTCTTACCTGAATCTTATCTTTCTCTAGTTTCATTTCTTTTTCTAATTTTTTAGCCACCAGGCGGTAATTTCTAGATATTCGATTGAACAGATTGATTATCCAGTTTCCGATACTATTTAACAAAGTAATAAAAAAACTACCCCATCTTTTAGCTGAAACAGAAAATAATACTTAAATTGGAGACAAGACACGACCAAAAAATATCCAATGGAAATGGACTAATTTCAACTCAAATACAAAATTCCACAAAATTGACTCATTTAAATTACAAATTACAAAAATAATGTAAGACGTGACATGACTGGCAAACAGTTTAACAACTTTAAGCACACATTTGCAAATAATTTAAGTTTAATGGTAATGTTAGATGGTGTTGGGAACATGGTCTCATAAAAGTGCTGGCCTAGGTCACAAAATTTATGATAATATACTACATTTGTTTCTCATTTTAACATAATGGTGCAGATTATCTCATTGCTGGCAGGATTATTTTATCGTCTGCAATTGAAGATTCAATTACATGATCAGCATGTGATTATCGACATTTGAACACGATCGACTGACAAGTCGGCAACAAAAATGGCTGACCAAGACCATTTGTGTGCCAGCACCTAACTAAGAACTCAAGCCATCATTTAAAGACTTACCTGTTTCTTCAGTTTCAGTTAATTCACCACCATCTGTTTCTAGCTCATCACCTGGTAATGTTTCAGTTGATTTTATCTTTTTTTGAGATGTTGACTAAAAATACATTATACAAATATTGGCTATTTTTATATATTATCACTTCTAAAACAGTTTGAAACCTTTGAATACTAGGAGTCACTCAATCAATCCATCTTACACCAGTTATCTTTTTGAAGCATTTGTTAAAAACTGAAGTCACCTAGGTCCTACATTTAAGCTCATACAGGTTTCAGCTTGGAGCTCAAAACTTATAATGATTTATTACTTTGTTTTCAAGGGTTAATAAATTGTGGTTCTCCTGACATGCTTAAGTGTCAAAATCTCAAAACAACAAGGAATTTTCTCATCTGAATACTTTGTTACTTTAAAAACCACTTCGGAAATTTAAGAATATATTGTTTGAGACAATGCTTCAAGAAGTTTCTATACAATACTTACAGGTGAAGATGTACCATCACTAGCTATTTTATCCTGGCTAGCTGCTCTATCTATGGCAGCTTGTGGACCTGAATCCATAGCAGTGGAAACAACCTATATAATAAACACAAATACTACACATGCATGGGTGGATTCTACATAGGATCAACATTTAAAAGTGAATAATTTTGAAAATCATATTATATTCTATATCTACCCTATGAAATTTAAAGTGAACACCATGTAAAGCTTTCATGCATCAAAAGCTGCAAATCATAATGTGCAGGTACTTCAAACTGCAAACTGGGGGTTATAGAAAATAACAAAAAATTGGGAATTTTTCACATGTTTCCCAGCTTATAATTTATAGCTGATGGTTTAAGGTACCAAAATGGAGATCTACCCCACAAGATAAAGTCACAATAGCAGTGTTAATTATGATATTCAAAGGATTTTATCTTAGTGAATACTATGACAATTATGATCGAAAAAATCAAAAAGGTGGCTGTGTCTATTTTCAATGCAATACAGGAATGTGGTGAGTATTCAATTTGATTTGGAAATAATATAATAATTAAACCAATCATCTAAATTTCACAAGCTGACTACTACATATATAAACACCACATAAATAACAAACCTGGAATGGTCCCAATCGAACATCTTTTTCTTCAGGTGATTGTTTACCAAGTCTTAAAGAATCCGTTTGATCTGGTGCTTCTTCTTCATCTGATTCTTCATCAAATAAATAATAATCTCCTGATCTTATAGCTGAAATTATAATGAAATGTTCTATTTTCAAGAGCGGAATAAATTATAATTTTAAGGTCTTTGTTAATATGATCAGTCCAACTGTGCTCATAGTTGATCAATTACATAAAAGCATTTTTTAATCAGGCAATGTTGTACAATTTATGTCAGATTGTTCTGTTAGTAATAATTTTATTTAATATCAGTAAATTTTGTTGTTATATAACTTGAATGATTGATGATGAACATGCTTTTAATGAAAGACAATACTTCACAATCCAATATATCGAAGGCATAAATTCAATTTTCAAAACAAACAATTAAAATCAAGTACAAGGTGAATTTTTCTTTATCAACTGTGTTATAATAAGTACAACATGCTTCTATGTTAGCTATATATTCTATGTAGGCTAAACCGATCTGCACCATTCTTAGGATCATTCAGTATATTTGTTAGTATTAAGATATATATATAAACTACTCTTTAGTTTTAATGCACATACTAAGGAGTTGTATACCACACAATTGTGTTCTGTTATTTAATGTGATCTCTACCCCTAAATGTCGCTTACAGAATATATATATATAATCATATAAGCCACATCAGAGATGTTGAACAACTTATGATAATATTCAAATCAGATTTAAAACTGACAGAATAGCAGGGCCTCATCTCTGCTGCGTATACGAATTCATTTTACGTCTATAGTTAAACTTTGTTAATATCATGATGCATGCATACATGGGTGTTCATAATTTGCCTTCAAAATATTGGACATGATCTAATAACTTGCACTAGTTTGCTATATGAAACTGTTTAACTACATGTATTATAATCCACACTGTTTGGGTCTTCATTGTCATTTCTTATACTAAAGGGTAGGGAACTATTTTATATCAAAACATTATTCATGTTATATTGTTATTTACATACGTTGTGTAACAGCTGAAAATAATATTAGTGTTATTAATGACAAAATTCAACAATCATAATGAATTACAAAATGATAAAAATGAATTACAAACTTGGTGAAAATGAATTACAATCATGCAGGTTACAACACACCAATGATACATGATGAATATTAAAATGGCCAAAATTAGATTGTTTTGTTAGCTTCTCATAATAAATCAACTTTAAAACATTTTAGCTAAAGCAAAATAAACATATTAGCACTAAACGGGAACCAATGATAAAACTAAAGCTGATTTATCAAACATAGGCAACACACATTCTAAAAATACTTGGCATCTGCTTCTGAAAAGGCTGTAAAAGCAGATTGACACTAAGACAGACACCAAAGATAAAACTAAAGCAAATTAAAGCCAAATACAAGTAACAATAAATCATTGGCGTCTGCTTAGATTTTTCATTGTCTGCTGTAATTATAACAACAAAATCGAAACATACCTTGATAATGTTCTTCAGGCTCAACGTAATTTTTCTTAAGTCTTCCCTGTTTCTCTTTCAGTGACTTCATTTTCTTCTTTATGTTTAATAGAATTTCTTCTTCTGCAGCTTTTTGTCTGTTCACCTCTCGTATATTAATTCTATGGATATACTGAGCTCCTCTACAAAACAAAACACGCAAACAAATATGAAATACTCCAAAATGGCTATCCACATGGCTTTCTCGTTTACCAAAAACATCAATACTGTTGACTAAAAACTAAAATCTTAAGGGCTCAGTTGAAAGAAAAGTGACTAAGTCCATGTAACACAAAACACAACAACTTAATTGCATGGAAATCATCGAAAAAGGTCTGGTCTGAATTAAAGTCCTTCACATGAAGTTCATAAATGTCTTTGTATTTTTGTTAAAAAAAATTAAAAACATACCGTGATGCAAGTCTATGTTGAGCCTCTATTTCATCTACAACATGTCTAAAATTATGTGAACTGTAGATACGTCGTTGTAAGAGTAGGAATACAAAACACACCACATCCCATGCTAGACCTGTATTATCTTCTTCTATTACACATTTTACATGGATAGCTAAAAATAACAAAATATTATGTCAAAAATTTCAACCCTGTCTACAGTAACAAAAAATAAAATTTTAAGAGCAATTTTAACTGCAGAAATAGGCATTTAATATGTTTTACTTTAAAACTTGTATGGCCAAAATGGCCTATGTCCGGTTTATGTCATTATGAGACTATGCCCTGTTAGTGCCTATGCAAGCCTTATTCAATAGGAAAGATTGGCAAAGAAGCTCTTGATATTGCACATTGCATCATTTTTTGTGATATACAAATTCTTACCCTAATATCTTTTGTTCTATTCAAGGTCTGTATTCAATGCTTAGTATATTATATATTTGTTTAATATATGTGAAACTGTTAAATATAGAGCAAGTAAAACTTACGTGGATTGATAGATATATCTGACATTAAACAATTAATACCCAATAACTGTATTAACCAACATTGATTTTCATATAGATGTTTAATATACACACATCCTACCAGCTGTAATCAAAAAAAAAACATTGGTTAATGTTGAACAATGTTACTAGAGATGTAAACAGAAACTCCTTACAATTTCCAAGTTCAGATTATTGGCAGTTACAATAGGTCATTACATCTGATATAAGTTTAACAAAAATATAATTACCTGTAAAGCAGCTTTAGCAAATAAAACACAGAATGTATAACCTAATAGTATATTCCATCTGTAATAGATATTAATAAGGCATATATCATTTTTGATTGTATTGAAACTATATCAGGACCTTTTGTAAATTATATTGTCTTGAATGGGGGAGCTGGTAATAAAAGCAGACTTCTTGTAATGGCCAACACTTGATTTATCATTTTTTTACCAATAAGATAGTTCAGTTGGTAGCGAGGTTGGGCTGTCGTCTGATAGGCAATAAGAAGCTGAGGGGTTGAATCCTCCTGAATGTTAGAAAAATTCTTAAATCTGAGCCAGTGTTTCTGAGAGGCGACCTAGTGTCAGCTTTCACTCCCTAACAATAATTTGGGAAATTCTGTCTAAATAAATCACAAGATAATCACAAGATACCACACAATTATAAGCAGTCAAAAACAGATTTTTTGCACACAATTCTAATTTCTCTGTTTTTCTATATCAAAAATCTAACATACCCTCTGAGTAATTTCCTTAACGGTTTTAACAGAAATTCTTGGCCATACCACATAAAGCAGAAGACAGCAATAACATAGCCCATACTGAACAGATTGATTCTGGTTAAACCAGTTAGAAATACTATAGCTAATGTTACCCAAAACATGTACCCAAATACAAAATACTTGATTACATCTAGGTAAGACCTATAATATAATAGAAATAATATCACAGTCAATTCTATATTGCAAAAAGAATGAACTCAAAACCAAAGATTCAGCATTCGAGTTGTTCTACTATAATGTTGATGATATTGAAATAAATGTATAATCATACAAATGCCCAATGCTAAGTCTTATACCTTGACATCATAAGACATTTTTCATGTATCATTGAAGTTTCTATATGCAGTATTTGATTGGTTTGTTCCCTAGCGAATACAGCCAATCAGTGCACTCAACAATTCAGCTGTATGTTCAATCGGGTTGTATTCACTAAAATCAAATTGCTGCATATGAAATTTCTGTGATACAAAAAAGTGCCTTGTGATGTCAAGGTATTATGCGTAGTTTGTAATACCTTGACATTATGAAGATTGCAATTGTCAAGGTAAGATTTCAATCATTTAAAATTAGAAAACAATATTTTGGAAACACATTTAGATCCATGGCAGATCATCCAATCTACTTTTCAGATTGAAATTGATGAAGTAACTTACAAAGTTGAAGCAGTAAAATCATTATAGAGAGCTGGTATTGGTGTATTAGCTTCTACTTCTGGTAAAATATCTTGATTATCTCCCCCTTCATCCTGTACTTCCTGTCTATTTTCTATTCTAAATACACGCCATTGTAGACATACAAATAATAGTTGGATAAAATCAGCTGAAATATAGGAAAATTAAACTAATCATTGGAACATCATCTGTTTTCACCCATCTTGTCTTTTCTAAAGACAGGCAATTCAAAGCCAATAAAGAGATATTTTGCTATAACAACAAATCCAGTCTTCTCTTTTTCAAATTGTAACACACCGATCATTGATGTTGTAAAGGCAAAGAGGCATTAATGTTAGCTGAATTGCTCTGCTGAAGATGACAAACTATGTTAGGCTGGAACTAAAGATCTCAAGATTCCACTCAGTTGAACAAGGTGGTTTCCATTGGAGAGTTCTGAACAGGTTCCGTCTGTTCCCGCAATCGAACAGTATGAAAGCAGCATGTCAAATTCAAAATTGTCCCATCTCTTTCCTCCTCCGCCATTTTGAATTCTGTGTGCACTCTTTATCTTTTTTTATTGAACATTCTGTTGATTCCATAAAACCTGAATGTGCAGAACTCACTAGTTAAATGACACCCAAAAGAGCACAATTAATTGATACAGAACTATTAGATAAACAAACATACCAAGCAATTTAAAAGGATGAGGTGGGTAGGCATAATCTGGTAAAAATAACCACTGTTCTAAATTCTGGTCTAAGGTTGTTTCATGTTTCCATGGATATTCTGAAAGTAAGATTATACTTAACACACTCATAAAGAAGTGGAAAATATTGCTTTTCCATCTGTGCCTTGGTCCAAGATAAAGTGATCAGTTTGTAAGTTGGATTGACGTCTGCTAGGTGATTTGGAGCAGCAGGTATATGTTCCCTTTATGGTAAGAAAATGTGTTGCAAACTTTTTATTGTCCTTTGTCTGTTGACATCATAAGATTAAGTATTGGTGATGCACCAGTGATATTTTGTTTTCAAATACAAATCTAGCAGCTCGGACTGTCCGCGAAGAAACTAGTGTAAGAAATATTTAAGAACTTACTGAGACATAATCCAAGAGGGAAGCCAACACAGGACAGGTATTGTAGGGGCAATAAAATAGCTAATACAATGGTATATAACGGCCAGATCCTACTGTTACCACGGCGACTCAATAATAACAATATACCCAGAAATATAGCATATAATACAGCATAGGCATCAGCTCTGATAGAAATAGTTGCTGCTGTAGTTATATAACAGATCTGAAAAGATAAAAAACAATGAAGTCCAATTCAGTCAAAAAAAATTCAGCTTTTGGGAAATTCGAGAAGATTATCTACACTATCTCATAGTACCCCTTCATACGCAATAAGAAAAAATGAGAAACTTGATAGTTCAATGTAGTTCAACAGGTCTGAAAAGATCATTATTTTATGATTGGTGTCTTAACTTTTCATATTATTTCAAATATAGCAGAAGAGTGAATTCTTTAGAATCTAATCAAATGACATTATACTATATTGTATAAATTTGGCAGTTCTGCTTGAAATAGCAGGTGGAAGAATTTCTATCTAGAGATTTCGGTTCAACAGTGACCTACCTCTAATCCAAATTTATAAAAGCCATAATTGAAAAAGTACATGATACAATTTTTCAGGCCTTTATCAGCATCTTCTCGTTTGATTTCTGGGAACACGATACCAGTTTTAGGTTTGACTATTTGTTCATGTCGGTACCTCTGTATCTGATGATATCGAACTATGCTTTCAAAAGCTACTAACAATAATATCAGTAGATAATTCTGAAAACATAAATATAGATCATTGAAGAATAGTCAAGTATTATACACATCACATTTTATCCCTGATTGGCCATGCAGAGGAGTATCTAGCAAACAATGAGGGGTGTCTCTCAGAAGAGTAAAAGCCCTTTGAGACCAGGGAGAAGTCTCGGTGCTGCTAGTGGCCCCCCTGATGCCAACAGATTTCAGATGGCCTGAGATGAATTTAGAGGGCTTAAATTTCACAACATGAGACCTATTAATGTCCCTTCCCCAAAATACGCTACTGTGGCATTGTTTTTGCTGCTGGCTGAGTGATTTCTTCAGGCCCCATGACCTTTCTTGCAGCAGGACTCAACTCAATTGAACTTAAAAAAATAAGTATTTAAGTATCAGAAATCAGTAACTTATGATGACTATATTTTGAAAAACCCCTATATTTTCATCTTTTAAATATAAAAGTTTCTTTATAATGCATGATCAATACTTACACTGATATAATAAGAGATGGTCACATCTAGTTTAGATATTTTAGCTAGACCAACCCACAGAGCATTATCTACTTCTGTACCATTTTGTAACATACTTGATAGAGATGTATTACCTACATCCATTGGGCTCTACAAATATAATAATAACAATATAACTACATAATATTCTTTTCATATCAACATAATAATTATCAATATTCACATCAATATGAAGATATCAACATTCATAATGCCAAACTTAAAAGAAAATTATGAGGTTTTCAGAAAACACTGGATTTAGAAAAACAACAGAGACACTCTTTCTTAAGATCATTAAGATTTGACTATTAATAAGTAACAAAACCAATTTGACAAAATTTTTATTTAATTTATATGTATAAAGATTAATGCCCACAAAACAAGCCTTATTAACTCTTTATTTTGGGATTTGTTGCTTGAATACTTAGTCTTAGTCTTAAACTTTTGGATGGTGGTGCCTAAATAATCCCAAAATATTGCGCGAAAAAAAGGACAACAGTTTTAAATTTCAGAATATCTCAATCAGTTCAAAAAGTTAACTTACTGTACAGTTAGTAATCCAATAGTCTTTCTTGACAAGTCTAAGTTGGTATAACATTTTAGCTAGTAGTACTAATGATGTCCAGAATTGTACTATATGTGATAGTACTATATGACATTTTGATAATGGTATAAATACTGCCATTAGTAATACATATATAGCACTTATAGCTGATACCTAAAAAATAACAATGATAGAAGGTAAAGCTCCATCAAATGAAATGAAATGAAATGACAGTTTTACGTCCTACTTATCTGCACTATGTGGGCTAATGAAGACCGGCAACGCCATGCAGGGTCCAATGAGGGAAATTTTGCCAGGATAGCGGCATTAGCCTACTCTTTTTTGATTTCCAACTGTCTAGGGATCTTCACATAAAAATATTCATTAGGTCAAAGTGAATTATGCCTAAAATGAGAAAGAAACCATTCCCTATCAGTGTCAGCATGTGCCAACTTTATGATTTGGTCGTCAGTGACAAAGATATTTCCAGATTCACAATTATACGGCATATATAAATTAGACTTACTTCTGTAACAGACACCAACATTATTATTAATACAACTATCTTGAAGAAATGTACTTCAGACAGACGCCAGAGGAAAGCAGAAACAACTGCCCAGGTTTTACTGCAAAATGTCCACAGTTTTCGGAACCAATAAGACATTCTTTTCTTCCATCCTGTAAAAATATTACATTGAACATGTACAATAACTAGTATATTTTTTTTCCCAAAAATTCCTACTTGTCAAACTACAGTGAGGGCTGAAATAGGTCAGTTTGTGACAGTTTGTACTTACGTTTTGTGCGTCTGTTAAGATGATGTTCAGAATCAGTTGTAGTATTGCCTGTTTCATCAGTAGTATAATCTGTTACATTGGGGTCAGCCACTGGTTCATCTTTCCTGTAATGACACAAAAATTAAAAAAATTAACAAAAGAAAATTCTTCAGTAAGGGCTCCTCCTTGTTATTGTTTATTTCAAGGAATATTGTTACTGTCAAAGATTTTACCTCAAAGTGACTCAAAAAAGACAAAATTCAGAATTGAATTTGTTCAAATTTTCAATCAATTTTAGCATTTGATTGTCTGATGAGTCAATCACTAAAATTGATTCTATCATTAGTTATATATCACTAAAATTGATTCTATCATTAGTTATATATCACTAAAATTGATTCTATCATTAGTTATATATCACTAAAATTGATTCTATCATTAGTTATATATCACTAAAATTGATTCTATCATTAGTTATATATCACTAAAATTGATTCTATCATTAGTTATATATCACTAAAATTGATTCTATCATTAGTTATATATCACTAAAATTGATTCTATCATTAGTTATATATCACTAAAATTGATTCTATCATTAGTTATAAATCATTTAAATTGCAGTTTTGATAAAACTTTGGATGCTGTTTAAGAAAAGAAAATGTACTTACTTGTATCTAGTGAGTGAACTATAAGCTAAGAATGGTTTATGGAAGTAATGTATCTGTAGAATAACTATTATCAAGAAAGCTGTAGGTGTCAATAATTTCATAAATAATCCAGCAGTATCATATCTCTCCAGTCCAATATCACTTAATCTACAAAATACAACAGGAGACGTAAAGACACAGTCCAAAAGTTTCACCACAAAAGTTCAGATTTTGTATCTTGTTGTTAAACCGGTATTTACCAGTATGAGTAAAATCACCTCACTGTGATGTTTTGGTAAGATTTCAATAAGCAAAGGCAAGCAACAAGAACAAGAAAGCTTTACAGTTTTATTCTTAGTTGAAAACATCTTTCAGAACCAACTTCTTGTTTTAAATGTAGATTTCCTTTATGCTAAACCTTTATGATAAATTCAATTAATTATTTGCTCTATTAGCTGATACAGTTCAATTCAAGCTATTTGTATCATTCTTCAGAGTATATATTTGACGTCTGCAACTGACAAACAATGTATTATGACAAACTTACGTAGCATTAGTAAATCCAGTACCATCACTCCAGTATTGAGGGAAAGCATCAAATTGGTAGGTATAGATCATAATTAATACAGCCATAGAATATATTATTACAACCCACCAAAATAAAAACATTGTCTTTCTCCATACTACATAGGAGAACTGAAATATAATAGTAACATTTTATTTGAAATTGTTATATAAATATAACATAAGCTAAAACTGTTACAAAAACATCATTTCACAAAGCCATGGGATACAGTCTCATGCCACGCTCTGTGCTGTTCACAGTTCTAGTTTTGATATGCTTTCCAACATAAAGCCGATGAAAATTACAATCCAATTGACAGAAGCCTATCTTATTTCTAACATTTAAATGAAATGATTGGAGTTTTACGTCCTAATTGGGCATTGCCATGCAGTTTGCAATGAGAGAAATTTTGTACCTGGAAGGCGAGTATAAAGTAGAGGAATAGAAACATGTAGATAATTCTATAGACCACGACATCTTGTATTGAGATCAACAACAGCATTCCAACACAAACAAATATCCAATATTTACACAGTATCAACCAAACATATCGAGCTGTAATAAATAGTCAAAATATAACAAAATATTTTAATCAGGTATATCTTTTTCCATTGGACTAATATGTGGTATTCATATCCCAATAAACGCCATTGCCTCGTCACCAATGTAAACAATCATGTCGGAAGTTGCACACGTAGCAATATAAAAATAAGCCCTACCTAAATTCATACTATATTCTTAGTATTAAAATTCATATATCTTGAAAACATAAACATTAGCAATAAACAGTTACCCTTTTACCATGGAAAGTTGTGAAAAATTTATCATAAACATGCATTTATTCAATTTTCCAGCCAACTTTTGTCTTGATATACCGCCATAGGGTAACAGTTTAACTCGTGACCTTACATAATTTGCATTAATATAATTTACAATACAATTTTAGTAGTGTAATGTTCGAAGTTGCCAACCAAGAAATATACAGAAGAAAAGTATGAAATAGAGTAAATATTACGTTTTACTACACCTTCTAACAAATATAGCATATACATAAACTACAACTACATTTAAGAGAATTTGATAAAAAAAGCTATTTGCTTTAAGCCAGCTCTGAAAAGGATTTGCTGATGGTCAAAGCTGAGTAAAATGAAGCGAAGATTTATTCACAACAGCAACTAAGAAAAAATAGATTATTATTCAATATTGCAAAAGCTTAGTCCCTCATACCATAGTGATTACCAGATGCGTATGGTTGATAATATTGAATAAAAGTCATAAGTTTGCACAGCACCTATCATGCAACTGAGTTTGGTACTTGTAACCACTTTCATTACTAGCGACCATACACAACTGTTAATCATTATGGTGTGACGGCACCGTTAAATATAATCAGTAATAGAAGTATATATATATGGGAGATAAAGTTATAAAGTAGTTTTATGTATATAAATAGAATATTTCATGCCTTATCCCTCAACCTGATCATTTGAGACCATCTTGAAAGTAATAAGAAAATCCAAAAGAAAATGATTAAAAAAATTAGCATAAGTTACTGTCATAAGAAGTTAATTTGTAAAGAGATTATAGGAAATGAAATGAAGTTTTACATCTCCATGGAAATGAAGGCATAATATAGAGAAGGAGGATACGTACCCACTGTTTTCATAGTATTACTATCATAACCATCAACAGTATCGGAATCTATTGGTCCTCCAGCTAAATAACGGGGGATACAGAATATAACATGCTAAATAGCATATACATATTAGAGAGTAAAAAGATATCACAACAAGCAAACTTCATGGTTTTACATTAAATTATTCGATACCACCCTTCACAGAAGACTGCTTCAAGGGTTTCAGTGGTTTGGTATTCTATTATTCTATATGATACTGGTTTTAATCATAATCTTTTATTTGAATTTCACATGCTAATGTTTCAGTCAGGTTTGACATCTTGAAAATTTCTAATCCATGGCTATTTTGTGAAAAAATTCCAACCAAATGATGCTGGAAATGTATATTCTATGTCATCAATTCTATTTCTATGAAAGGCCACAAAATTGGAATTTCTGAAAACAGGCTTCATGACTAGGATGTGTTTAAAATCTCATGTAGGGAGTATCTATGAGAGTAATTCTAATTTTTCAAAATGGCTTCCAAATTTTTAATGAAAACCATGAAATCACACTAAATAACAATTTATAAGTTCTAATATTGAACAAAGACATATAATTTAGTAGAAATAAAACAACTGCTCTTAAAACATCAGAATATTCAGCACAAAAACTATTCTGCAGAAAATTTCTAAAATATCTAACAACGAAAGCTTTTAATTGAAAATATTGTCAAAAGCATAGTTAATCAATGATATAAATGCACATCTACTGATGATTCAAAAATGGAATGGAAATAATACAAAAGGACCTTCTCACATGTTCTTTGCAAACTTTGATTGAACAGAGTTTTTGATAGGTTGAATATTTCAACAACTTAGAACATGTCTTGCATTGCAATTGTATCAGATCATGGATAGCTATTGAAGACCACACAAAAAAAACCTAGGAAATTATCTGCATTTCAAAACGATTGATATTTGGAATCGATTGTAGAAGTGCATCAACATCATAGAGCGACTATGCTTGTTTGAGAGTAAAAGAAATAAAAGTAATAAGATAGGTACATACTAATAAAGTCTGATAGTGTACTAGTTTGTCTTTGAACATGATGTAACTGTAATCCTTGCTGAGTATTTTGTGTTGTTTGTCTTTCTCTCATATATTGCCTCATTGTCAACCAGAAAAACAGTACAAAGAACACCTGGAAAAAGTTGTTTACAATGTTCTAAAGTTTCTACATGATACGTAAAGATTTCCGAATGGTGACACACTGTCACCTGCTAGGAGATAAGGTTCTATGGGATAGAGTGACTTTTGCACTGAGAAAAAGTCGGATGCTATGGCCATTTCTTTCAGGCCAGTGTCTCCTACCATTTTGAATGTGTAAATAAAAAATCCTACATTCTTCTTAAGAGTCTTACTTATTTTTAACTTTTAACCATATGGGTTAACCAAACTCAAGATCTTATAATCATACAGGCATCTAAAATTAACCCAATTTGGTAGTTTTGTGGTCTTGTTATACAAATCATAAGATAAAATTCAGCAATCTGATAAAACATAGTGACTGATAGATGACTGTAACACTAATTCACTTTAAGATAAGTTTTGGGGAATTAGGCTACTGGATCAAAAGAGAGGTAGTTAGGGATCTGGATAATAACAATTAAATTACCTGTAGTGCCAATTCATAACATTCCAAATCCATCAGACCTATTTCACGATATCTTAAATCTCCAGTTTGTCTTGGTAACTCATCTTCTGTTAGATTCAAGCTGAATATAAACTGTGCAATGAGCAGACACACACCGTAGATGGTAATCAAGGGGGAGATAATCAAACAGGCTCTGCGGGAATCAGGAAGCATCCATAATATACAGGCTCCTAATAACAACACAAATGTTAACCAACTGTGGAAAGTGATACTCCATGCCTACAATTAAAACATATTACATTATTCCAAGATTAAATATATTTTACTGCTAATTCTTAATTCAAGTCCAATTCGTGAACATTTTTGTTTAAGGTCCATTGCATTTGCTAGCTCAAATATATAACTGTTTCTCAGAAACTGATTTTCTTTAACGAAGCTGAAATGGACACCAGAGTGTTTGAGGCAGGAAGACAGATGGGGGGAATTTCAACTCCCATGGAAATGTTTTGGGCATGACATGAAAGTTTTTCCAGGCAGTGATTTCTACTGTTAAATATAATAATAACACAAGGAAAATTAAGAATTACATGTTGCTGAGAAAAGCATCTGACTGAAATGGAAGTTGCTAAGAAACATGATCACCTACCATCATAGCTATCAACAAGAGAACATAACTCTGTTTCATAATATATACAAATATAGAAATGAAAGGAGAGCGTTTGATATTGGATCTTTCTCTTTTCCTAGACCCAGAGACATCTTCTTCATCTGTTTCATCATTAGATCTTGGTGTAGCTCCTGTTGGTTCATCTTTATTAGTAGCTTCTATTGAGCTATAATTCTGGTTCTCACCATCATCTACCAAATGCTTTAATTAACAAACCGAAAATTAAAATTCACTATCAAAATATCACTCAAATGAAAACAAAAATTTGCATAACAAAAATCTTCTTTTTTGCATGATATCAATTTTGTAATTACAAAAAAAAAGTGTGCATTGAAAAAACTTTGCTCAAACATTTCAGTGATTATGAATGGTAGGCATGAATCACTTTTTTTTTTATATCTCATTGGACATGGGTTTTCAAATAGGTAAAAAGTATAAAAAATGATTCTCTACTGGAATAAATGTCTATGACTCTATAAGATAGCTTGCCAGGCAAGGTAATATATGTCCACTGGCAGCTTTGATTTTGAATAAAAATATTTGGCAATATAATAACAATCAAATGATAACATGGGTGTCGACAATATATGCCAATTTCATGTGGGCGTATAAATATATACTGGTATTAATTAAAAAAAATATATATTCTAAATAAAAATGCAAATAATTATTCCCCAATCAAAAAAGAAGATTTTCTGATTATTTTCGTATAAAAAGAGAAGTAAAATATATTAAAGTAACAAATCTAAATAAATATTTAAGGTAAAATGTCAGCTTTATGTACAAATTGTACAGTTCAATATATAAATAAATATTGTAATTAGATGTACAATATCACAAATACAAAGTACCACCCACTAACAACTGAAACACGCAGGATATAAGGCTTGACAAAATATATATTCATAGCAATACAAGACATACCATTGAGAGTGTCAAAAATCGACAAAGTGTATGTAAATATTTTTCAATCTTGAAGTTTGACTAGAGATATGTACACATATAGTCAATATTTGTCACAAATGCATCCGCATATTTAAGTGCCAAAAAAGTGTTTGTGTTGAGACATTAAAAGCTGTATTGTGTCTATAACTACATGAACTATATTAAATAAGTTGTTTTTACCACTTCTATCTCTTGACTATTTTGCTAAAATCAAAATGTGAATATATGTAAAATTGTGCATGGCTTTAAAGTAGCAAGATGTTTCAAACAGAAAAAAAAATATCATTTATATAGCCCTTTCCCTGCATTAAATATAGCCCAGAAGCATTAACAAATGCCCCTTTAATATATCTTGGTAACTCTGAGTAATGCATAGTGAATGAATGAATGAATATGTGAAAGAATTAATTAATATGGAATAAATGAATGAAATGAATATAATAATTGAATGAATGAATGAATGAATTATCAAAATCTGTGGTAGCAGCAAAATAGCTGAAATATTTAATGAATGAATTGAATGAATAAATGTATGAATTGAATGAATGAGGAATGAAATTTGTTTTCAGCATGTAGTTGAAATGTTTAATGAATGAATTGAATGAATGAATGAATGCATTAAATGAATGTAACCATAAAATGAATGAATGAATTATTTTTTGTAGCTTTGCATGAAAATAGCTGAAATATTCATTTAATTAATGCATGAATTGAATGAATTCATGAAATGAATGAATAATTTATTTTTGTAGCTTTGCAGTAAAATAGTTGAAATATCTATTCAATGAACGTATGAATTGAATGAATGAATGCATGAAATGAATGTAACGATTGAATAACAATGATTGAATGGATGAATGATATGCATTAAAAGTTTATGTATTGAAATGGTGCATGTGGAATTTTCAGTAAAAAGTCTTATAATAGTACAAGCTAATAAACATGAATCATTACAAACAGCAATCTAACAATATATTCAATAACAATATACATAACATACCTCCTCTTCTAATGCATCTGGATCCCCATAGGCCGAGTCGGAAAACATAATACTGCCTGTCTGATTGGGAGAAAATTACTAATTAATAAAATATTCTTCCTTTTTACATCATTAATTACTTTGTTGGGCTTATCTTTTAATAAAACCTTTCTTCAAGGCATACATCTTAGAATGACCAAAAATTGAACATTTTAAACTTAGTCAAAATGAGTCTATATATTCATCAGTGGACTTACTTGGTGTCATAACTAAACAACAGAATCCCTCTTTAACCTGATAAATCCATAAAACTAAGTAATTATCCATAAAACTAGGCAATTATGGAAAAATGCTTCATATCTTAATGGATTCATTGTCATATAGAGAGATTCTGTTGTATAATTATGACACCAGGTAAGTCCGCTGATGAATTTAGACTCTAATTTACCAAGTTTGAAACTTTTATGTCCATTCTAAGAGGTAGTTTCCCTTTAAAGAATGAAGTTTGAAAGGAATATATCAAATTTTCAGCGCCACTATTTAATTATATGGCTTAAGCATCATTATACTACAATTTGACTACCATGCAGTTATGAATGAACCTACACCTTTTGTTATTGAGAGATTTTTCTATTTGTTATTTTTCTATTAAGCTACTGAAGAATATTAAATCTTGGTGGAAAAAAATTTAATCTTTTTTTTAAATAGATTTAGGAAGTTTTACACATAAAAAAGAACTAGAATAAAAAACTGAGCAAAAAAACTAGAAAACTGTTAATTATTGTTAGTTAAGAGTTATTAAAAAATTTCACAACATCAATTATTATTTCTACTTTAAAATCTCTAATTCTAGTGAAAATTCTATCACACAAAAAAAGGCTATGAAGGACAAATCGGTGCTATACTCTCATCTAGATTGCTCTGTAAGCATTTCTACCTAAAGCAAAGAATAGAAGGGGAGAAATTTTTTGCAAAAATTTTGGATTTTTTGGAAAGAAGACATCTGACTTGCTATAACAAAAAGGAACATAGATTTGAGGTGCAAATAAACAAGTTTGAATGTTGGTGTATTGTTCGGTAATGGATTATCGAAACAGTAGAAAACAAAGAAAGCAAAACTCGTTGGTAGCTTGTCCACTTTTCTATTTTCTACTCCATCATTTATACAGCACTGAACAACGCTTCAGACCTAATCTATTCGCGACCTGTGTAACAGGTCCAGATATAACAAGATTTTTTACATTCCTGCAAAAGTTATTGCCATACATAACTGACCGGAACAACAAACCAATTGCCACCATTTTCCTTAACACACAGAAATAAGATGGGAAGAGAGGTTCAAGTTACAGAAGGACAACTGACCATCATTCACAAATGAAGCCTATGGATGCCTCTTCATATTGGAACCTTAACAAAAATTTGTTTAAAACTTTATCCCAAATAAACCATACTAATTATCATAGGTGTTTAAACATTTTTCTTATATGAAGAATAGAAGTAACTGAAAATGGGGGAAGCTATGGTTTAAACTGTCAAAGCATGGATGGTTTTTGATGATGGTCAAGAGTTCTGATTGTGATAGAATGAGACTGTAATCTTGAATAAGTCAGCTTTATTATTTATTCTGCCGAGCAACTAGTAAATTGGGTATTGATGATCTAGGAAACATCCTAGATAAGATTAATCTAAGGCCAGTTGATGGAAATGGAAAGCCTCAGTTAGGGACACAGAAATCTGGCAGTTCACATCCATTTGAAAATTGTCCATATCAGAATTTCACCCTTTATGAAGACATAATGATACTTATGAAACTTGATGAAATGAATAAAAAGGATGAATGAATGAATGAATGAATGACGAGGAGATAAGAAAAATAAAACTAAACTACAACATATCACGCTACATATACACATTACAAAAATATCTACTTTAAAGCCATGCATCACACTTTGCATATTGGTTTTTTAAGAGTGCATGCAATCATTAACTAATTAAAATATATTATAGCTGATTCAATTCAAATGGAAATGATAGTAAATTTTTGAGCCAAATGTAATGAAAATCTTTTAATACTTTTGTACGTGGACAGGCGATCCTTTCAACCAAGAAATTGTTTGCAAAAGAAATATAAGCATTAGAAAATAAGCATTAACTGTTAAAATCTAAAGTGCATTATCAGGCTTATATTTTGTTTTTCATATTTTCAGTTTTCAGTATTGCTCATTGAAAGTGAAATGAATATTTTGAAGAATTTTGTTTCCATGGTATTGACTAAATTGTGTCTGATCAAGAATCATAGAATTTCCATTTTGTTTTAAAACTCAATAGAGTAAGTGTTTTAATAATAGTTAATAGTATACCACAACAACAGCCAGTGACAAAATAATCAAGACTACAGCCAAACTAGGATCACAATAATCAAGACAGCAGCCTTAAAAATATATTCCTTCAAACCTTATCCTGCTGAGGTTGTATGAATACCTGGCGTTCAAGACTAGAGGGTTGTCGTTTCTTTTTCCGTTTCTTATCCTTCACGATATCTGTTTCAACAAACGGTTCATTCTGAAGAAAGAAGATAGAATTAGTTCATCTCTGAAAGAAATCTTTACGACTGTGATCTAAAAGCTGGGCCTGGATTAGACATTCTTTAGATTGATATAATTTCTTTTACATTTCTTCTACATTATTGCTTCAAGAAGGCAATTGTCTTATCTACATGAGGCACAATTAATTTCTTAGAAATGGCTTATAAAAGCTGTGCAAAATTGCAGAAGGGCTTTTGTGGTAACTGGGTTTTGTGTGTGTCCATCAAATTCTTTAATGCCAATGATCTGAACACAATACATGCAAATTATAGTTTAGCAATGAAAGACAGAACTCTGGCAGTTAAAGTAAATCATGAAAAACATAGTCTTCTTTTTCAAATTGAGATCCGAACCCCAGAAACATAATGACATTTTCCATATTTCAGATTTTATCAAAATAAAGCTAGGACTAGATGTTAATACAAACCTTTCTATGACAATAATGTCTGGTTTCGAATGCTAGTACCCAGTATAATAATAGTAATATTCCAGGGTTGACATAATATTCCCATTTAACATCAGAATGAATACTGAGTATCCATGGTTTATTACAATCTGTTTTTATAATACCAGTTAAACCAAGCAATCTAAAATTATATTGATATACATATTCATTAGTTTCAAAATATTATCAAATACAAACAAGTGAGTTCTTACTCTCAGTCCACCATGAGCAGATTTGAATTTTTTCTCTCATATCATAAATATTCAAAATAAAATTTGTCTTAGAAAGTCTTTGGGTCCATGGATTAAGGTTCAGTGTTTAGCATTTGAAATAATACACTTCCTTCCCAGAAAATACAAAAATACCCACTTTTCGGTCTTAAAATTACCCTCTGTCAGATCATATTACATATGATAATTTTTCCAGTGGTTTGCATTTTCATCTACTCAAAGACAATTTAATACTCTCTGTAGTATTTTTTAGCTGATATATCAATTTATGCAAAAATGATGAGCAAAATTTGGGTCAGTAAACATTGAAGACAGAGAGTAATAACCTTACTGGTACATTGTATAATTATATTATAACATTTGACCTAGACAGTGAATATTATTTATTCCATAGATATATCACAAAATCTGGCCTTCATTGAACTTTCCATAAATGATGTAAACCTTGTCTAAGGACACTTTTAGGGACATTATTGAACATGTTTGATAAACAATGCTGTATGGAGGGGAGGGGGATAATTTTTCTCTGGTTTTATTTGCTGAACAATGTTACTATAAACATTATGTATAACATTTGATACCTTATTATTTTCCATAGATATCTTAAAATTAACCAAATCTGACATTCAATTGATATTGCATATATGTTGTTAACCTCTCCTAAAGGTACTTTGAAGGGACTTCTTTAAACATGTTTAATAAACAAGCCAGATAGAGGGGAGGTAAAGAATTTTTTTTTTATACATGTCAAATATATTTTCATGAATGTACATAAAGTGTCAAGCAATGAAAATCAACGGATTCCTATGAGATATTGTTTGGAACTGTGGTCTATCATTATTTATTCATGTATTAATGCTGACACAATGCTACAAATGGCTGATATTAAACTATCGGGAGACAATCACACAAAGAAATATTAAACTAATTAAGCCTGATATAATGAGAATAATTAACATATTAACCACTAAATCAAATTCCCACTCTCATCTTTTAACATTAAACAGAGAACAAAGAGATTAATGCATATTCATTGTTTTAAATAACATTTATTGATTCCAACAACTGGGACATTAATTGTTATTTAATTGTGTTAACTTGAGGTTGTTTCAGAACAAAGGTTATGACAGGCTGGGACATTTTGACTTTCATAATCAAATGCAAAACTTAGAACAAAAAATATATTTTTGCTTATTTTCATTGGCTTTAGTTGGTTCAAAATTTGAATTTGAACAAAACCTATGACAGGCTAGTGCATTTTGACTTTCACAATCAAATGCAGAATTTAGGATAAAAAGTATATTTTTGCTGATTTTCCTTAATATTATGGTTGAAAAAAACCAAAATATGTCAGTTGAATATATCTGATATCCTAACGATGAAATTTAAAATAATTTGGATTTACAATCAATAAATGATAAAAGGCTAAAAATATCGAAACCCTTAATGCATTTTGGAATGACAAGTTTCAATAATTCAAGTTCTATTATAAAATTATCAGATAGTAAATCAATATATGCCAGAACAGAACACTTTCCAGTTTGAAACAAAGGCTATAAAAGAGTTACTTCAAAGGAAACTTGTTTTAAATAGCTTTGATCATTCTATGAAATGAAATCATCAGGTGGTAGTGCAAGTCATGCATGAATACATCATACAGTATTCTGCCATTGAAATAATGTCACAATGCAATATTTGAAAGAAAAATTTATTGAATAGAAAATTTGAACATGAAATTGAATAAAATTTTAAGAAATTTTTGTATTCAATATCATTCATAATTTTTTTTTTCATATTGATCATAAAAGCAAACTCCGATCTTTACTTTATTTTATACAATTGTTATGAATACTGTCAGTAATTCTGTATGTAACAGCTTGCTATTCAAGATTATACAGATATATAACTATGACATAAAATATTATTATACAAAATAATGAATTTTCGAAACATGAAAAACACAAGCTATGGTCTCTTTTTTGAAAGCAAATATGCAACTCGTCATATGTTTTGTAAACATATTGAAATATTGTGAATTATTTAAGAGAAGTTCAAATAAAATTGATCAAATAGAACTACTTACCTAGCAACCAAGCTGTCATGGGGGACGCCATCTTGGAAAAACTGGAACTGGTACAGATGAAGTGTAAGGATATGTAGACCAGAAAATATCAGCAGAAATCCTCGATAGAATGCAAACTTTCTTCCCATGGAATAATAGAGAGCCCATAATGTCGCTATCGTTAAAAACGATACAAAATAAACGGCAGACAATACAGACGGCAAGATAATACCACTAGCACCAATCAAAACATTCAAGATAAATTCGCCAACAAAGTCAAAAAATGGTCTACCCCTTCTCCTTCTGGATCTAGAAGCTATGACAGGTAAATCTGATGGTGTTTGATTTTCATCTCTTTTGAGCAAGAAATAACAGATTAAAAACGTAACCAAAGTGACTATAAAAACTATTAGATCTGTTACAGCTAGTCTGGTGATATGAACTGCTGAGGCTTGGTCTAATCTGTAAAATATAAAACACAAACTTACTGTGAATCAACAAGTCCATTGTGCAAGAGCAAGAAAACTTTTTTAACTTAACGTTAAATCCAAATAAGCAGACCAGCATGTACCTTTTCTGCCATGGCTTCTACATTGGTAATGATGATAAAAAAGGTTTTCAAAATAGAATGAATAGACTTGTAAGATAATGTAATATTATCTACCTTTGAACTGCTATTTGACGAGCAATACTTTCATCACCTGAACCTGAAAAAGGTCAAATTTAAAATATCATAATTACAAGAAATCTTAAATATTGTTTCACAAGCTAACAGAACTTGACACCAGTTAACACTCTTCGGAAATGAAATGCAGTGAGGCTATTAAGAAGATTAGATTGATGATATCACAATAGCAGAATTATTTACAATGTGATAATGTCAATTCCATTCATCATAAAGTACTGTAGGTCTTAATTAATTGCAGAAGAACATGACAATGAATTTTCATTCTGAAAAGTGATCAGGATAGATTAAATTGGTCAACGTTATTTTTGAATTTTTTTCAGCATTTTCCAAAAAAATATGTCACATCAAGCATATTTGAGTTGACCTGAATTGTAGACATTGTTTTTAAAAATAGAAATAAATGTATAGAAATAGTTTAAATATCAAAGGTCATGTAGTGCATTGTAAAATTCCTTGGTTCTGTTTTATTAAAACATGCAGCATGTGTAAGTAGTTAGCTAATATTGAACATTTCACTATTTTCTAATTATCTCTCTATAACAATGATATATATCTGTATGTATCTGGGCTTAGATCCAACAATTTAAAACACATACTAAAATATCCCCAAAATATTGCTTATTTAGCGAATTTTATACAGTATCTTGATTTTAAACATATTATCTGTAGAAATATTTCTTGAAAGCTAGCCAGGTGTGAGTATTGTGCAGCCTTATTGCCCAGTTATTGTATGTCTTTAACATGTAATCTCTGATGTAGTTATAGTGTGCTAACCTGAAGCTCCAGGGTTCAATCCCGGCATAGGTCAAGATAACACCTTCAGATTTTTCAACCCGGTTTTCCCTGTCAGTAATGTAGGTGAGATGGGCTGACATGGAAAAAGCGTCTAGTCACTCGGATGGGACAATAAATGAATGCCTTGGAAATCGAAAAAGAGCAGGCAAAATTTCCCTCATTGCACCCTACATGGTGTTGCCCGTCTTTATAAGCCCACATGGTGCAGAAAATTAGGACGTAAAACTCCATTCATTTAATTTCTGATGTAGTTTTAGATATGCAAGTATATCTTAGTTAACAACAAGAAGGGCATTGCCAGAATGTCAAAAGTATAGTGTGTATACTAGTTTCGTAGTAAGCTTATCTATTTTTGATATCTCACTATTGGTGAACAATTATTGCATGTTGTGCAAAGTGAAACTATACAAAGTCAATAAATGGTAAGGGGTCTGGTATAGATTATCTGGCAATCTTTAGGCTGCAGTGAAAGTAGTAGTAGTGAAATATTAGCCCTCTGTTGAAGTGTGTACATAGGGTACCACACCCCTCATTAAATAACACATTTCATGCACATTTTAATCTTACATAATGTGATATATAGCATATATACAAAAGACATATATAAATGACTATAGGTTGACATGTAATTTTATCAAATTATAACAGGTATTAATAATGTACATGTTACACCATCTTTACAATGCCACTCCATTAAGAACTTTGTCTTCTACCTTAACTGCAATAGCCACCTTTCTTTTTTACAAAAGTTTGCAAATGCAGTGATTTAGTTGGATTGTATGCTAGTAAATACAGCCAATCAGAGGGCTCGAACAATAAGCAATAATCTGTATACAATCTTTCTGTCGAGGGCTCTGATTTGCTTTATCTGAGTGTGCAATCTAATCAAATCGCTGCATTCTATAATACAATCGCAATGCCCTGCAGTATGCAATGAGGACAAATTTGCATGGACAGTGGCCTTAGCCTATTCTCTTTTTTGAATTCCAACTGCTGAAGAATCTTTAATGTGTACAGCCTGTAAAACGGGGCAGTAGTTTATCCCATTAAAACAAGTAATGGGAGTCATTCCTTTAAGAGTAAATTTCATACTTACAATTAGGGAACATAGAGCCATAAGGTTCTGTATCTGTAGCTATAGCAACCAATGTGACATGGAATATGATTTGTGTTAAAGTAGCAGCAGCACTCAATGCCAATAGAACTTTTAAATAGATACCAGTTAAACCTGAAATGAATAGAGATATATGCAATTAGTACACAACTGTTTCAATATACTGAGGCAACTCTTCAATATTTTAGAACTATGAAAACTATGAGTGGTTGTACAGACATTTCTAGCCTTTTAATTGTATAATGGTTATTTATGACTTCTATTTGCATCATTCTTATTTCCCATCGGATGTCTGTGGTTCCTGTAATTACACATATGCTTAATTGTTTTTATGACATCAGTATCACTGAGGTTTCTCTTTCTTTGCAATAGCTACATCATTAAACTATAAGTTTTAGTGGAATTGCCATCCACAGACGTCTGGTTAAAAATTGGAATGGTGTAAAACAATTAAGTGTAGAAAACCTCTTTATGATCCCTTTAGGAACTCATCAAGGAATTTCAAAAATGAAATTATCCTTTCTGCACAGAAACAAGAAGACCTTATATAAATAAGAGAGAAAATTTTACTCTCAAGGTTATCAACAAGTAACAGCACTAGAAAGGACTTATGGAAACAAATGGTCAGTAAGTATGTGAACATCTGGTGACTTAACCCTGGGTAGGGTTATTCTGTGAAAGATCAATGCCTGGAGATTTTGCTAAAGATCAGCTGATAGACAGTATCTTTAGAAAAGTAAGATGTTAAAATATGATCTTCCCCCCTTTGAAGGTAGGAAGTTGTAGTACATAGTAAATAGAAAGAGAAAGTGTTGGAACTATATTAAATACCTATCTGATATCTGTTACTTATTAAATGTCAAATGTAATCAATAAGTATATTAATATAGGAATAATTGTAGATTGTACAGTCTATTATAGCAGTTGGTGATATTTTTAACATTTCTATTATTTCCTAGAGATAGAACTATCTGGTGTCTACTTGACTCTTAAAGATAAGTTCTCACAGTAGTATGATATATATCTACACAGTTCTCATACAATATAGATTTCAATTTTCAATCAATTGTCTGTGGTTCCTGCAATTCCACTCAAACAAAGCGTTTGATGACGTCACAAAATCTGTATTGTGATGGTGGAGTCTAGTTTTAGTGGAATTGCAGGAACCACTGACTGATTGAAAATTGAAATGGCGCAAATAGATGCTATCAGTGTCTGCGATACACATGCAAATTTTAAAAATCTCTTTACAATGCCCTAAATAAGCTGGCAAAATTTTAACAAAATATTCAGAAATATTATCAATAAAACTAAAAACTCTCCTTATCATCTTAAGATTTCAACATCCAATTTCAAATGATAGTAGATATCTTATCAACAATATGTTTTTATTGATCTTTAGACAAAAGTCTGAATGATATTTTCAACCAGTATTGTTTGGTAAAAATCTTATTATTTCCAGAACTAATGGTTTATGACCTTATTTGAAATAAAATATTCATAACTGGCTGGTCATTTCCTGTCATCAACCATGACATTTTACTACTGACTATAGATTTTTCTTGACTCTGTTAAATCAAATAGTGATCAAAGTATTAATTCAACTATTATACGTCAATAAGTTATTGTTGTTTTTTTTAGTAGATTAGCCATTTAGTAATGTCTATCATATTTTCTATCTCAAATATTCTACATACTAGCCACAGGTGGTCTTAGTACTAATATAAACACATTATACTCAAATATTTAGGACACACACAAGACCATGAATAATACATCTTTCTTATTCTTTGGCGTCTGCAACAGTATTTGTAATAATTGGACTAACTATTATTAGCTATGCAGAGTGATACTAAATTAAAAGCTTGTACTATGCTGTACTATGATTACTTAAGTTACTGAGATTACCAGTACTTTGTCTATTATTCAAATAGACAAACACAAAACCAAATTAGTAGTAGTATTATTAGCTTTGTAGAGTAATTAGAAAGCGGAAGTTTGTGCCAAGCTGTAGAGCATGATAACCCTTCTGAAACATCAAGATAAGTTATTCACACTGTTTATAAAATCATTAATCGACAATGCTATTAATTACTCACTAATGGCTGCATAGAATTGAAAGCATATCTTATATTGGCATACCAGTATCACTACGGCAACTTTGTTAATTTACATAGACTTTGATTATTGACAACCAACTCATTTAGTGTGACTAATATTTGAAAAAAGAGGATTGTATTTCCAACTTTTGACTATCAACCCACTCTCATTGAACAGGAGACAGACATCAGCAACGAGAATATTCTGCAGTACAAAGCAGGGCATGACAGAGTTGACAGACTCAGTAACAGAGTGGCATCAAGGTGACTGGGAAACTTATTTCAAGAACATTTTTGGGAATTAGACTTGAGCTCAAACTCAAACTGAGTAGTGTGGTGATCTCAATTTTCCACCCTGTCTGTGAATTTTTAACAATAAACACATCATTTTATCCAAGTGCCACATTTCTACCTGTGATATTATCACTATAAGTATATATATAACATAATATTTGTTAAAGTATTTAGCACAATATTTATCTAATATATCAATCTAGCTGGTCACAGATGGTGCCTACATTCAACATTCAATATTCCAATATTTCACTTTTC